CAACTATCTCGGGTACAGTACTGGAGATGAAGGGTTTGCCTTTCGAAATTGGTACCATAGGTTTTATGTATATTTACTGCAAAACAGTTATTATTACTATTATTTCATGAATGGGTTTGAAATAAATAAATTGAGCAAACCTAATGTATAGTGATGTGTTTATTGTTAGTATTTTTTTACGTAGAAAGAAACTAGCACTCAAGTAGGAGAGATGCCTTTGAATTCGTGTCAAGAATGATGGAAACATTTAACATAAACCATGAAACTGCTCCTAAATCTCTCATTCTCATGCTGTTTTAAATGGACAAATACTCATAAATCAACCAGTTTCACTCACGTTTTCTTTAAACTCAAATGTAAGACCTATATCCGTAGGATACGTCAGCTAAAAAGGGAAAGGCTTGCTTAATTTACGACCAACGCGAATTTTTCACCTTGACCTATTTTTCCTGGGATAAAGTCCAACAAGAAAAAGAGGCGTTGTTCAAATCTTATCTTGTATTAAAGCGATGCTTTAATACTTAGAAAAATATTCATATCAGGAGACTTCGAACCACAGAAGGCATTCTTATCATTTTGACGATTATACGAAAAGAAAGAAAGGGGAACTTTCTTTTGCAATGAGAAAGCGCTATAGGATAATAATAATGTTGTATACAAAGAAATGGAGTCTACAAGATGCGTTCGAGCACACAATTCTTTTCTCCGAAGAGCGATTTCTATGTACACATTTTACCCGACTAGTGCAAACACAAAGTGCAAAGTTGGGCATTACTAACAGGATTACCCTACAGCGTTTTCCGGTTTTAAACTTGAAAGAGGGAAGATCTAGGTGAGTTGCGGACGAGAACTCCCAGAATGTGCTAAGTGGGATGGATTTACTAACACAATACGCTGTCACATTATTATGGGAGGGTATGAATAATAGGAAGCGGAAAGCATTTGATAAGGACAAGAGGCTCACTATTTTCTTCCACTTCTTTAGAATTCTTTTTTTTTTTTAAATATTGTAATAATAGGCGTGGTTTTAGTTCTGCTTTAACATCAGAAATGTAATACGTCAAATGAAAAAAAACGTCTTTATAGAATGAATTTTAATGAACAGGACTCCTTTTATTTCTTGACATGAAAGGAAGAAAATTTGTCAAATTTTGAGTTACTTTCTCTTATTTCATCCCGGAATTTTAGTTTTTAATTTTTAGCCTATACAGTTTATCTGGGATCTGTTTCACAAAATAACTGGCTCGAAATTGGTCTAATCTTTAGATCAAAATTTCAGTCATCTTTGACCGAAGAAAAACTAGTAGTTGTCGAAATAAGATAAAAGATTGCGCCCGTTTCTAATCAGGAAAGACGAGGCTTGTGTTTCAAATCAATATTTAGTTTATATTCAGGTTGACTTCTGCGAATTTATCTTCAAGTGATGATGAAGACCACATTTTTTGTCTAAAAGTTTAGACCAATTTCAGGCCAAAGTTCTGGCACTTGGATAATGTCGTTCTGAGCCGATATGACAGAAGTATAATAATTTTAAATGATTAATGATAACAAGTAATATCTCCGAAACCACGCCAGTGACTTCGATTGGTCATAATGTTATTGTAATCAGCTTGCAAACAGATCGCCACTGGCTTAACGCGAGTGATCAAATTCATATACCTGAATTTTTTTCAGATGAACCTTGCCAGGCAAATCCGATTGCTTTCCAGGGTTTCATCTGGTATATGAAAGCCCATTGGCAAACAGCAACCTTGCAATGCTTGCGCATGTAAATTAATCTCATGTTTCAGACAATCTTCAAAGAGTGCTAGTTATTATCTGATTAAGAATGTCATACACTAAGGAATCGGGTCGCTACGGTGGGGTGTCCCATTTTCCCCAAAAATGACCGGGATCAAAGGGGAATGAGGGGTCCTGTCCATTAAAGCAAATGTAGACGCGGAAATATTGCGTCACACGCTCAGATCCCAGTTAGCCGATGTTCAACTTTAAGTACATATATTTTTGCCGTTATACATGAACATTTATCTTTTTTTTCTATTCTTCTGAATAGTCATATGCCCCCCCACGCGCGCGCGCACATACACACGCACACACGCACACACACACACACATACCTACACACACGGTGGAAGCAGGAGAGATAAAAACAGAAGAGAGAAAATAAGAGAACGGGTAGTGCCTCAACTGAAATATCAAGTCAGGCATAAAGAATAAAAGGAATCCTGCAACACTGAGAGCTTAATCTTGGTTACTTGGCGCCAAAAAATGTTTGTCGAGCCATCCCCCCATTCCTCTTTGCCTCTACCCTCCCTCAATATTCTAGGGTCTGTTTCACAAAATGACATCAGTACGATCGGGTTTTAAATCTTGCCAAAACTGCTTTAGGTCTGCTAGTTCTTTTAACAAATATATGGCCAACAAAAGAATGAAGATTGATGGAAAAATAATGCATAGCCCATGAAGAGGAAATAATTAAAATAATTAATGAGCACAATAACAGATATAATCAATTTCAAGATTAAAACATCATTTGTATGAAAAATGACAGAGTCGAATATATTGCTCAAATCGCATTCAACTCGGGCCTGTTTTTGAAACTCCATGCGTTGGAGAGTGCAGGCGGTGGCTTTTTTTCGCAAGCACTTTCCGCTCTTTCCGTAAGCATTTCAGAGCTTGCGTCGGGTAGTGGCAAGTCACTGTGAGAGATGTTAGAACTGTGGTCGCTTTGAAGTCCCTCTACCTAAAGAGGATCAAATAACACTCAGAACGCGTAAACGATAGTTTTTTTTACCTATGGTGTAGCCAGGCAGGTCTCGGGTTCTACTGAGGTTTTTGAAATCGAAATCTTCTGCAAACCGAGGCCGTTTTAGTCTATCATCCTTAAGTTTGCTTTCATTGTGCATGTACAACAATGAGGTTCGAGTTTTTCCCAAATAGGACGCCATTTATTTAATCGATTATGGAATACTAAGGAAAATTAATGAAAAAAAGAACATTGAAATCTAGTAGATATGTTTCTCCTAGTCGGACATAGGGCCTACAGGCCTATATAGTCTTATATTTGGGGTGATCTTACTGACAGTAGGCTAAGGTCAGTAAACAGATGTCCGAATCAGATGGATAATTTACATTCTTTTTCAGAACTTACAGCCGTAATTGTTTCTTAGAAGTCTAACATTGTGTTTTATGCCCGTTGCTTATAGAGTATCTTTATCCACTTGGTACATTTATCAACATTAATCGGAATTGTAGCATGTCTGTTGATTTATCTACCTCTTATATGGTTGAAACTGAACAATCACTGGTACTCGGTAGTGTGGAGTTGGTATATTGGGAGTGTGGAAGACAACAATAAGCTACTGTCCTCCTCCTCTCTCTCTCTCTCTTTCTGCGTTTGTGTGTGTGAGAGTGTGTGTGTGTGTGTCTGTGTGTGTGTGCGCGCGCGCGCGTGCGGGAGCGCGTTTGTGTGTGAGTACGCCAGATGAAGGGTTTTGCGGCATCAAAGAGACATACGATCAGGAGGTAACAGTAGGAAATGCAGACCAGGTGTGATTCTGAAAACCCAATTTCAGCGCCAAGCCCACGTTTTCTTTCCATGAAAAAGAAAAGAAAAATTTCGTTTTCTTGAACCAGGACAACGGCATACAGTAAAGACTTGTTAAATTGTCATTAATAACTCGGTTCCAATCTGTCACTGCCAATCTGTGCCTATCTGAAGGAGGTACTATACAATGAGATCAAAGTGGTTTTAATGCAGTCAAACAGAGTTAATGGTACGAAGGGAAATTATCTGTCTTATCTGTCTCTAGCGTTAACACAGCAAATTTCCATCTACTGAACGAGCTGCTTAGAATACAACCCTGTTTTCGTGCGAGCACATCCTCAAAACCAAAGGATGTTGGAGGTTAACCCGGCAGGAGACGTAACGCATTGCACCTTTTTACTTCAACTCACGTGCTTTTTGGCGTGGAGGGCCTGGGCAGGTGGTATTTGTTATACAAACGCTCTGCGGGAACTCCTGGTTTCTTTTCCTAAGAAACTTTCGGCTTACACTGTGAATTTTGCGTAAACAAGCCTTCCTTCAGTTGAAAACTTTGCACACTTCACCTATGCTACGTAGAGTCAAATTGTTTGTATAAGAAATGATTTATTCGCAAAATAATACCAGAATCGCTCTCCTTTCATAGCTAATTTTCACAAAAATAGGAAGTGGGTTTTATCTCACATCACAAAGACACTATTTAGGAATTATTTTAACCCCCTCTCCTTAACCGCATAATACTTGGTAATGAGAGTATGATCAGACGATAATGCTTGGTTGGATATTGCTGGAAAAGCATACACGTTGAGCACATTAGAGAAACACTCCCCGTCCATCAATCAAGAAACGACTGTCCCACGATTGTCCGAGTTTAAGTGCGAGATTTGCCTTCCTTTGGAAATGTGTCTCTTTTTATGCCAAAAACCGCAAAGCAGTTGGCGTGTCTGTTGTAACTCAATGGGGATTGTCACAGAATCTCTCCCAGTGTTCTCATTCATAGTGTGGTTTTTCGTTTTTCTTATTTTCTGGGTAGTTTCTTTTATTTTACAATATGCCACGCGTGGTAGAGAAGTGATAGAAAGGTAGCGTGTCAATGGTTAAACAAGTATAGTATTGTGCCTGGAAGTATCTTTTATCATGTTCCTGGTTCAGCGGCAATAAAAATAGATCCATCGTGGTTTGTTCAGCAACAATGAAACTGCTTCACACAATGCCATACAATCAATCGTTACATCACACACAAAACTACTTTTAGCAGTCAAGGCATGATACCTTTGTGCCATAAGTCATGGGCAGCCCTACCTCTACTTAGAATTCATCTCTCAGTATCCATCATATGATGGGGGCGAAAAGTGGAATGTCTGATAAAATCTGATATACTTTCTGACAAACCAGAAATAACACAGCGGGCCTCAGAATCAGAGTATTGACGTATGAGCTTTTCGACAAAAACGGAACACACTCGAGCTTGTGATCATGCAGTTTGCCAATTACTCACAGGGCGGCTCCAAGATCTGCTTCGCTTGCGTTGTTGCCGTTTTTTATGCGATTTTCCGAGTGACGGGGTTTAAATGCGAACACTGGTTACATTATCAACAGATCATTACTTTACCGATTGATGAGAGGTGCGCACTTAGTCAAGTCGGATTAGGAAGTGACGGACGAATATGCTGTGCTCATACTTGAAGCAGTTGACCACAAGAAAGGTAATCCGGTGTTCGCATGTCTAATTAACAAAAGCTTTATTGCCCTGCATGTACTAATGAGGTATATGTTTTATCTCATGAGACAAGATAATAACTACTAGGCTCGTTACACTCATCCAACCTGCTCTCGCTCTTCGGAGAGATTTTAAAAAGATTTTTACTGGCAACATTGGAAAATATTTTATTTATTGCAAATTTTGTGATAATCTTTTTTGACAGGAGAGCATTTCTTTACTACAACGTTCACGATGTCAATTTTGCAGAGAAAAAACTTTTTTTCATAAAATATTTTTTTCGCCTGGTAAGAGGAAAACGATGAAAATACGCCCGACAGAGCAAATACGAGGTTATCTAATCATTTCTGTAACTAAGTCGGTTAGTTAAGGTCAAAAATACATTAATCTACTGCTAGGCAAAATGAGTAAGACGCCGTTCACTGAAAATCATCTTCAAGAAGAAGTGAAGGATTTATCGTAAGAAGACAGCTGCGCTGTTTGCACAGGAAACCTCTTTACATGTAACCACTCTCTTTGCATTCTGTACGAAAAATCTTTCTCTTAGTGTGGTAACCATCGAACTAAAAAGCAGATAAATAATGTCACGATTTTTTTAATTATATTCCCATGTTGTATGAAAAGTGCGATTGATTTAATTTTCTGAAGAAAGTGTGCATACTCAGTAGCACTGATGGCCCTCTCTCTTTTTCTGTCATTTTTTCTCTAGTTGTGTGCACATGTACGAGCTTGTGAAAAATGGCGGTACATTTGTACTTAAAATGTTTCTGTAAATAAGCTACAAAGTATTAATTCTCAGAAAACAAAAACCGGAGATTGTTGTCGCCATAAAATGTCGTTTGACTATGCCAAACTTTTCTTTATTCAAAACTGCAACACCAAAGGCCTGGTTTGATTAAAATTAACTTTTGTATCTAATCAAAACATAATGGTATAAAGTTTCAATTTTGTTGTGGTTCTATACAGAAAATATAATAACCATAAAACAGAGCAAAAAAAATTCGATCTAATCATTGTTGACTTGAGACAATCTGAAGCTGGTATAAATCTGAATACGCTTACCAGATCCAGGGTCTGGTAAAAAAAAAGCGGCCTCTCTGAGCTAAGGTTCCCATTTACAGGAGAGTGGGGTCAATCCCATCACGTCAGCACATCCCTGTGCTCTCCTTGGGGATATCTCCAGTTGTACTGATCACACATGTAACCCCTTGCCCTCAACGACATCGATTGTTTTATTTGCAAAACCACATAGAGAGGTGTGCATTTGCGTGTTTTAATCTTGGTGTTCTTTGTAGGCCTTATGTCTACATTTCGTAAGTGAGAAAATAGCAGAACTTAAAGTTGTGTGATTTTGCATTTGGGAATAGTGTCTCTTTTACTCAATAGTGACACGCACACATACACACACGCGCTCATACACAACATAATTATATACAAAAATTGACACCATCAACTGCAAATATGCATAGGAAAATAAATTGTGCCTGTGCCATGTTTATTTACAAATTATTTGTAAAAATCAAAGTTATCAAAATCAATCAAGCCCAGAAAGGTTTGAGTTTCTCAGAGGTGTAGAAAGAAAATCTTATTAGATAATTGGACGACTGAAATTAAGTCCTCACCTGTGGACACTTTTGAACTTGGGAGGCATGCCACCACAAGTACTCTAAAATCTAAACAATGCACTTAAGTAAAAACTTACTTTGATCAACATTTAATGTGGTCGGCCTAGGTCAACCAACTTTTTGCACTCAAGAACAATGACCAGTCGAAATTACCATCTGGCAAGAAAACAAATGTTTTGTCGCACTTGATAAACTGTTTTATCTAAGTGCAGGCTACTGACCGCACACTTTGTTTGCCGTTACTTCAAATTAAACTAGCACTTAGAAAAACTTGAGATGGGGATGACTAGGAAGATATCTTGAGGTTAGGATTACGGATGTATTGGAGCAAAAATGTAGCTATTTCTCCCGCTTTTCAGACCACTGATTCACAATTAACCCCCGACAGCTCCGATGAACAGCCCCAGAAATCATTTTCACGATTGATGTATGGAAAACCGACACTGTATTTTTCTGCTGCGTTTAGACAACGATCTCTGGCTCACTGGTTCGACCCTGGGGCGCCCGAACCTTTATCTCAGCAAGCATCTTCAGCATGTCTGCCTCCCTTCACACAGACAGATTAAATAAAGATAATGAAATGAAATTAAATACAAACAGACAGCCTTTCTATCAAAAGTCTTGGTAAATTTCCAAACGTTGTATGCCTGTTAATCTTTCAAAGAGTGTTGGCATGATAATAACAGGAAGAAATGACTGTGCATTTTCAGATTTTGCAGAAAAAGCTTAGACCCCATTCCCATACCTAGATCGATCTAGCAGGATTGACCCATCTCCGATGGGATTCTCACTAAATTGCATTCAACTTAAGCGGCTTATATGTCTGGCACGCCCACTGAAGCTGCTAAATGATAGTTAATTACCCCCTAGCAGCTTCAGTAGGCGTGCCAGGCATCAGAGCCGCTTAAGCTGAAATCAGTGCGAAACCCCTCGAAGATGAGTTGGTCCTGCTGGACCGATCTAGGTATGGGAGCGGGGTCTTTTAAAAACACAATTTTTTTCATGTTCTTAACATAATCTTATTTCGCACTTATAAAATGCAGAAGCGATCCAGGAGCTTGTGATTCAGAATTTCGCCAGTGTAGACCCATTCCTGGAAAGAAAAGTTGCCCTGATTAGGGGCGTGATGTAGTGTGTTCATCCTCGTGTATCGGTGGGTGGCCCGGTAGGAAAGGTGTGCAAGACTTGTGCCCCTGCGTCACGACTTTAATAACCAATGCGAACGCGCTGCAGTTCCTGCCACAAATCACAAATAGACCATCAGGGAAGTAGCCAGTACGGGGCAACTACCGTATTGATCCACGTGTTGGAAATTATCCCCTTTCCCGATCATTAGTAAAATCTACTTAATTTAATAATATAAATCTAGTTGTTGGTGTTTTCGAAACGGCGTTAACAAGAAGTATGTGGTCTTTTTCTATTCTGTTACATGTTTTAGTTTTCTTTGTTTATATCTGTATTTATATGACTTCTCCACCTGGACAGGGTTTGTAAAAACCCGTGCCCTTTATTAACTGATTTCATTTGCATCTTGAGGTCTGTTTGTTTTCGCAAGAAAAACAGTTACATTTTTATCAGGTTTGAAGTTATTCCGCAAGTTTAAACTAACAATAAAACAGCAGTTTACAAAATCAAGGGGAAGTTTTGTTAGATGAAAGATTTGTTTCAGACAGCATTGCGCACGTTGGATTTGACAAACGAATGCCTCATTTGAAGAACTCTGTGTGATGATTTCTTTTTCTTTTTTTCTAAATAACATGTCAATGATTAGTGCATAGGACAGAATTACAATTCGTAGAATAACTTGTTAAAAGTTGTTATGTACACATTCTTATTCCTAATTATTTGGTTCCTATGTCTGATCCATTCTTTAAGTCCATTGGCTGCCTTCCAAACGTCGAAAGTAGATTATGTACAGAGTATATCAAAAGTCATTGTACAGCCTAACTCTCTCCGATAAGTAAGAAGAGGAGAAATAAGGGTTTTTGCATGAACCCATACTGTAAATCATCCAAAATGCACTAGGACAGACTTATGTGTCTGTTATACAGTTCTCAGAGCACCAAGAAATATGGTTATCAGATTATAACTGTCGTCCTAGTTTATCGGTTTTGTGCTTGGAACCAGAATTAATAATTATGGTTCTTTTATCTCAGTTGTAAGTCAAATTGATCTTTTATAGCCCAATTACGTTCGCTATAAGTTTCGGGATTATACATACTTGCATTGGCAGCTTTTGGTGAGAATAACAAATTGCTATAATTAATTACGTCAACTTACCAGGTTAATGTTATTGAAACGCGAATGTGTGTCTGTAATTTGACTGATAATAATTTGTCAATTTTCCCAAATGCAGGGTCTATAAATTATCCAAACATCAATAATCGTCCATTGAATTACGTCCAGTAATTTGGGCTCGCTATTTCATTGCTTTACCATTCATGTTTACTATTTTTTATATTCAAAACTCATTTATCCGTGTGTTGCATTTGTCATCTGTGTTCTTATAATTTGTCAACCTTTTGAAATGCGTCCATTCCTCCAATGAGTTTTCTTTGATGTCTGTCTTTGACACGGCCCCTATTGAAGTCTAACATAGAATAACCAAACGGCCAACTATTGCAATAAAGCAATTGCAAGAATTATTGTTCATTCGTGTTACTTTTGTTGGCATTGTTGAAACAAATGGCGAATCTATGTTTTGCGTCAGTCCACTGAAGGTTAGTTATGATTTTTGATGTCCATGCGATTCTTAGAATTAATTAATCTTGAAAGCAGTGGTACAGACACGCTTAAAACTAACCATGATGAGCGATTTCGTTTCATCTAACCGGTTTAATGGATACGATGAAGCTCAAGAGAAGAACAAGTTCGTCATCAGACGAAATTCAATGGTGAGCCTGGGGCATTTGTGCGGGCGTTGTGAATAATGGGCGATGGTGTCGATGTCACTTACAAAATTAAGACTTAATCGAGGAAACAGTTTTAAAGTCACGTAATTCATTCTGTAAGCAACAAAAAATTGACAAATGCTATCTTGTCAAGAATCGATATCTGATTTGAGGTGGTTCAATCAAAGCAGAAAATGTCTGCAATCTTGGGGGTAAAACATAAACCTACCCACGTATAACATCTCCGCCAACCAGCCATATATACGCATTCCCTTGGCCCTAAAGCCATCATTATTAATGAAATGGCAAAGTACGCGTAATTTCAGGATCACGTTAACTCCATTTTCTGTTTTCATAGATCAATATATTAATTTCAATCCTCTTCCGACTGTCATGAAGGTGGATGAGGTAGACCTATGTAGGTTTATTGGCTCTTGGCCACAGTGCGGTCTAATCATCAGTCTTAATTGCTTACAAATGGCTGTGAACAGAACGAGGAAGCTCTGTGGGCTGGCAGATAAACCTACTCTCTTACGGATTGTTGGAGATTTGTGTTCCCCTACGTTAATTTTTTATTTTAGACCTGACCACTTTTGAATGGGTTTGTAAGCGGTACATCTGTGTTTGCACATATGTGCATTCGTGTCCACGCATGTTCACAGGTTTGTGATTGAGGATGTGTGCACAGGAATGTGCGTGCATAAGTCTCTATGACCACATTCAGATGCACACATCGCACTAGCTGGGTCGGTCCAACTCTGCAGGGTATTCTCGCTAAAATGCAATCAGTGGAATCAGACTAATTGCCTGACACGCCTCCTCGAGCAGCTAGGGATAACTAATGTGAACTGAATAAGCTGATTCCAGAGTTGGACCGACCCGTCTGGTACGATGTGTAAATCTGAATGCGCCACGTGGCAAAACCGTTCGGTATTGTCACATGTTGTTCAGAATGTATTCTTTCAGCTATACCATACAGGAGGACATTATATTGTTGGTGATTATTTGGAAACAACCCCAGCTAGACAGACCTTAAAAAATATTTAAAAAAAGTTTCCTATCAATTATTTTCATCCCCTCGAGATTTGGTTAACTCACGAGTTTTCAAATGAATTGAATTTTAAGTTTGCAACTTGTACACCTCTCATAACCCAAGTTGTTGAAGCACAAGTTGGTATGATCAGTATCATGTCACTCTTCATCGTGCCAGGTATTCAAGTTCTATAGGTTTTTCTCGTAAGTTTTCAACCATACTAAGCTATTAAAAATGCGTTAGTCTCTCAATGAGATAGGAATCGGTCAGTTTCCTGGTTTACTTAACCTCCAGCCCACTGTTAATTTCCACATCGGGTGGGGTTAATTACCTCATAGCTGTTACAAGTTTCAGTCGTAATTCGGATAATAAAAAGGCTACCATTTGATCAATGCGTATTGGTAGACAGCATACGTCGCTGATCACATGCGCGATCGTGTATATATAAAAGGGCTGTGTTTCACCGTTGCCACATTAGCTAGCAGTGTCAGTTCACGATTGGATATATGCTGCACATGTACATGCGATTTATACGCGTGTTTTGTAAATATTTTGAATATATTTAAGACGTGATGTAAGTATTTGCAAGATATGTATGTATATATACATCTCTGGTTGTCTGCGGTATACAAATTTAATTTAATGTGTTTTTGAATTATGTTTCTATACATGAGTTTTAGCAGGTAATATAAGCCCTTTTACTGGGCATTTATTTGAAAACTTAATGAAAGTCTTCACTGTAGAAGCACACGATTAAAATCTTGCCAGCAACAATGATATTTTCTCAGTATCGTCTGATTATAAATGGCACGATACCACGCCATTGTAATGAAATGCACCACTAATATGGCGTATCATTTCTTTTTCAGATAACCATGAGACACTTCTTATTAGCTGTGATACTGTCTGCATTGTTGATCAGCGAAGTGACGGAAACCTTCGCTGGGGCAGACGACAGATTCAGAGGTGAGATACGAGTTTCACTTTTGACTGAAGTTATCGAAGGGGACAATTGACGTTTCAAAATTTTTGCCATAACATAGGACCCTACTTTTACATAAAAATCAGTGGCAATTTTGGTATCTGCCTTCTCAAACTTACACCGGACATTCAGAAAGATATTTTGAGGATTAAAATATTTGAAAGATATGTTTTTATCTGACCAAACTTGACATACGATTGGGTGTTATTATAAAGCCCAACAGTTTTCATGGGTTTTATGGCATACTTGCCTTTGCATCAGTTTTTTTAATCTTATTTTATTTATTTATATTTCTAATTATTTCATTTCCAATTATTTTCAATTATTCTTGTAGCGTGACACAAGCAAATGGTGTGCATGTATACATAAATAGGATTAGCATAGGCCCCAGAGGAAGTTACCTTCTTGCCAATATTATGAAGCATCAAAACAAACACTAATAAGGCAAACCAAGCTGGCCATTTGTTGCTTACTTATCAATAGCCATTGGAACGACGTGTGTCTAAAATCTCTTAAGGAAAGGCATATTCCAAACTCCACTCGCAAAATCTCAGCCTGCATTCTGCTTTGACAAATTAATATCTACCCATATTTGTCTCACAATCAATGCCATATTTGTGCATTGCGAAATCTCCTCTCTGAATATCTTATTTGCCCACTGGTCAATTTTCCCTTGTTAAGCACTCATGCAGTGGCCTTAAATGATTCGATGAACATCCTTTGTTTTATTTCAGTGGAGCCATCAATTGTCTGCATATGAGCTAGACAAAGTAGGAAGTTGAAAAACAGTTTAGGAAACCTTAGCAATTGCCCCTTTAATACCAATTTGTATGGTAATGCCACATCTTTCCCACGCTGCCAAACACTGTTCAGCATAATATGGGAAGATTGAATTAATAGTGAGACAAAAAAAGAATTGTTACATCACATCACAAGGCGCTGCAAATGAACCGTTAAAGTAGTTCGTCAATAATTTACCATTTGTCCTTTCGGCGGCGCATGTCTGCGTTATGATGACAAATCTAAAGTTAAAGATGCCTTCCGGTTCTCATTCCCAACTGGTCATTCAATTAGGACAGTGCATTGTGAAGAATACCCCAGAGGGTTAGGAGACAAGTTATCTGAGTGGACAGACCTCGTCTACTACGCAATCAATAGAACATCGACGCCAATGGTGCTTAATTCTAATCACTTTGTTGTTCATCCCGTAACTGCGTAACCACGAGCAAACTGTAAAAATAAACCGCAGTATAGGAAGCATAAAAATGAATTATGACTCAAACGAACAATGTCAGTGAACGGTTCCACTAGACATGATGAATAGATGTCCATTTTTACTTTATCTAACTGAAAAATCCTTCTTGTTTTTGGCAGTTAACACATGTATACATAATTGACGTACGTAGTGTGACTAATGACCAAGTATTGAAATGTCGAAACGTAAGTGAAACCAAGTATGCCCACGATAGCTTTATTATGAATGAATCGTGCAACGTATCCAATTTCGTTCATTGTAGATTTTCTTTGAGAACTCGCTCGTTTTTCGCTCGGATGCTATGTCTCAATATAGATGTTAATTAACATGACTCGGGGGCCTATTTTTATAAATCTTAACGTCAATCTAGTTCTCAGATTACCAATATAGTTCTCAGATTACCAGTGGTTGTCACTCATTCCCATTATAGTTTTGTAGAAATAAACACATGTTAACATCGTCGTGTTAACTTCCTTGTCAGTTTACTTTCATTTAGAAGGCTTGGTTTCATACAGATATAGATACTAAAACGACTTTTTGAATGAATCGTGCAACATGTTTTGCGGAATATTGCTATGGTGTATTTTCATTTGTTCTCAATATATTTCTAGGTCTTAGCAGCTTTTATCCAGTCCAGTCCAACCGAGGATACTATAACCGTTATTCTAAATACAAATATCGATACAACCGGTGAGTAAGCCTTTCTTGCCTTCGTGGGAAGGTGTGCCTTACTTTGTGATCTTTAACGTAAATATAAGTCATCACGTTTTCCATGCCCAATCAAAAACATTTACTTAATTCAAAATTAAAAGGGCAGGATAAACGGCATGAACGTAATCTTTTATGAGAGAAATCAGCTTGTGAAGAAACAACTTATTGGACTAGAATTCTCCATTATCGCAATGAAGTGAATTGATGAACTGGAAACCATATTTGACACGCTTTAAGACAGTAATTTAATAACAGTGCCCACATGCAGTGCAATTCTGTGTTTGTTAAAATTTGGTCCCGATGATACTACGACACCTGTGTTTTGTCTCATTCATAAAGTAAACGGCAAAACAGATGTTTTTAGGTTAAAATGGATTACACCTTTTTCACTGTCTGACTCATTACCTTTACAAGTTCCAAGGCCACATTTATTATACATTTCTTGTAAGACAACAAGGCATTGTGGCTCCTTAAGCGTAATTGTCACCCGTTACAGTTTTATCTTGTTGGACTTAAGGTAAACCTGACAATAACCCATTTATTTCTAAATACAAGGTATTACACATGTGATTTCACTGCTGTGACTGTCCAAGGTGACTTCCAAGTAACATGGCCAATATCTTGTACATGAAACTAAGATGGTGTCTTCGAAGTAGAGCCAATCCTCGATCAGTAAATGGTAAAAATTTCAGCACAATTAAATGCGACAGTCTAAACCTCTGCAATCCATTCCGATTGGCATCTTTTACCAAACCTTCACAATGCTCACAGTAAACCAATAAATCAGTCACTTGGTCAACTGAATGTATCGTGTGGATAAAACAGCAGTAAGCACCTACAACAAATTATGTACATTAATGCGCTTCGGCATTTTTCATTCTATTGGCATCGTTTCTTTGCCAGTATAGTACCGTAGCCAGGAATTTGGTGAAGGGCAGATTCTAAAAATGTTGATAAAATGAGTTTCGAAGTCTGAGGGTCTTTTGTACGCGATTTTGCGACTCGATTGTTATTTGCTGTGTCACAGTTGTGAAAGTTGAAGTTTAGTACCAAATGTAAGGTTTGGATTAAAAATGGCTAGACGGACCGTTTCTGACGAAGTGCGGTTGGAAGTGGGCGACCTTTTTAACTCAAAGAACCCTCCCCAGTCGGCATTGTTGTTAAAGATTTAATGCTTTTTCTTACATTCTAATTAAGTTTAACTCATGTGAAGCTGATGAGATTACCTCTTACAGCTAAAAAGTTGTTTGCCAAGGAGGGGTATTAGCTTCGCCTAAAGGAAGAAGTGGTAGACTGACTTTGTGTAATAATCAGTACAGTGTAGGTCCAATTTGGTTTGGTAAGCCTCCGTATAAATCATAACATCTTTTTATCAGTAGTACATGTGCCCTCATGGGTATAAGTGAATTGATTGCCATGCCATGTTTTACTGGATAAGATAAAGTGCAATACGTGTCTGGAAAATCAAAAAAACCATTACGCTCAGATATATAAGGCATGATTTACATCCCAGTGGCATTGTAGGTACAAAATTTCTTTCCGTTTTGCGAAAAAATACATCGAAACAATTTACTCAGGCACATGTCAATAGTTCTTAATGTTATAAGCTAAGAGACGGCGTGTAGTGACTTGACTAGTTCAACATTCAACAGTTCGCTCCTGATTATGCCCGCTGTAAATCAAAATTTCATCTTGTTTCTTAGCCATTTCTCAAGGTGGGTCAACTAGGGGGATAAAAAATTCCACATTTTCATGAAAGGAACCCTCTTGCCGGTGTAACGAAACCGGGGGTCCGTGTAACAGAAAGTCCGCCCTCCATATAGTTATAATGGTTAGGGTTAGCCTGACCTAAGTGGGTCAAAATCTAGGGCGAGGCTGACCTGTACAAATGAATGGGAGGCGGACTCTCTATCATGGGGGACTCTCTGCCACGTTATACCGGTCATATCTTTTATGTTGATGTTGTGTGGCAGTCCTTTGAGGCAGTGTCACACAGCATTTTCATTCGTACCTGCTTGAATGTTATTTAACTATACACTGACAGACACTGACAATGCTATTTGCCCTGGAGCATTTGGCAGATCTAAGTTCAGTATTTGCAATCCAACAAACGAGTTTGTGCAAAATTGCTTGTAAATAATAACTTTTGCTGACTCATTGCATCATACTTTTTAGGATGATGAGTTGTCTTGAATATGTGATGTATATATTTATCCACTGTCAGGGCATAACATTTAATACAGGCAACGATTTGTTACATTGTTAAAATGATTAGAATAGTGGGGTTATATGATAAAAGCAGCCTTGTTTGGCCAAATCTCGAACAACCAATATTCTTTGTTGCCTTCCTTCTTGTTGTAAATAGGACCATGAAAGTTTGTGGTACACTGGGATGGAGGAGACAGCAAGAAATACATGGTATAACGTACATGTACCATACTATTCTGTCGTTTGTAGAATGATTTATATACAAACTTAGTAATTGATAATATAGACGGTAGGCTACATAGGGCCTTTCTACAAAATGAGTTTTTATAATGTTAGTGACCATGGCCAGGTATAACCAGTTCCCATATGAATAACATCAAATCATTTAAATTAGGTAGATCCATGACTGTAAGACAAGTAAAAACACTCTTAATTGGGGAGTCTTTTTCTATCTGTTTCAGACCAAAAACCCGTTGCCGAGGTGCCAATGAAGTTTGCGCCTTGAACAGCAACACACCCAGTTCAAGGTGCTGCGACGGCTTCAATTGTAGGTGTTTCTTCTGGTTCAGCAACTACTGCCGGTGTTCCGTCAAACTGTTCGTCAAATAGACAGATCTTGCTCCGGCGGTTGTCAGGAAGACGCAGGCCTCAGGAACCCCACGTTACTTCCGTCTGTTGCCAACTTACTAGAAGCAGTTTCCGTTTCTTTACTTGATATCACCTCTTACTATGAGATACGGCACGCTGTGCATACATTGGAAACTGGACGCGTGCAAGGCAAAGGATGCAGGAAATAGACTTTTGATGATTATCACGGATAGTCTAGAAAATATGTAATTGGGCATGTTTCAGCAGTTTCTGAGATATTTATCTGGAACATCGATATTTTGACTTCACCGAACAATATTCGACAACATTCCATTAGATTTAATAGGATACATCCTTGTTGGAGATATCGTTTGATATGTTTATTCCTGGAGTGAGAATTTAATACAGGGTTTTATGACATAGTTCAAAGTACTCACATAGACGCATAAGTAGGCACATGCTTAATTCAGCATAGAGTGCGAGCCATGCATAATGAATGTTAATTGGGCATGGGGCCGTCAAGTACCACTTATTTCGGATTCGAAGTGTTTGCGTGTCATCTTTATTCCTATTTTTTAGATTTGTCTAAACATTAGTGTGGTTTCTGGAGGAAGCAACAGAAAAAACGAAGCCTTGAACAACTGGTGAATTCTGAATCTAAAATATCAATCAGCAAACTGTTGTGGATTTGTTTTAAATAGCAAAAAAAAAAAATCCTTTTTACCACACTTTCTCTTCTCTTTCTCTATGAATTATACATCACGGTACTTTATACATTTTGATGGGTATGCATTGCCCAAACTTGCAAATATAGTTCGTGCTTTCGCCAAAAGATATGCATACAGTAGATAAATTTTACGACGATCAGAATCATATTTATTCTACACTTCAGTTTGTTGCGCAATTTCTGTATCTATTAAATATACCCCATTTGTTTTGGATAATAAAGTTAAATTGGTCAAAAGATTTGAAAATATTTGATGATAGTATTGTTGTCAATAATGATTGAAATCACCATACATTAAGGCAATGTGCCTCGATGATGAAATCAAAAATGCTATAATCAAATAATAATATAATTATACAATCTTAAGTATTAGCGGATAAAACACACATGTAGGCATATTCCAAACACACTATCTCTTGCTCTCTCCCACAGAATTCTGTCTTGCCAGACATTCTGGTTAAGATTGAGGCAGTTATGTTCTTCTTAGTGTCAGGACCAACGAATTATAATAGCGTTAGATGTTTTGAAACTATTTGCGGATGAACAACCGCTGTAATGTCCTAATAACGGAAGAAATACCGGCTTTCTTAAAAATACATTGCCCAACAATATTGATGATAAATCATAGATCAATTTCCTTTGCCTTTGGTGAACAAATTGGCTGTTGCTTTTCCCGGAATATCACGATCGATAAATGTGGTTTGACTGTCCTGTGTGATTCCATAGTAAATAGCTATTTGTCTCAACCGCCCCCACCAGATACTATAACAGGTATGCCTACTTACTTTCGGTGAAATGAGGAGTGTCGGAAGTCACACATACTGCAGCACGAAGATATTATATCATCCATTCTCTTTATCATGAAATTGGAGAAAGCAACCTGCATTCAATATCAACTTATTGCAAAGTATCATTTCTTAGTTTGATGGAAATTCTCTCCATTACATAATTCACGTCGTAAAACATCAGGCGCCGCGTTATTAGGATACGTACTTAGTTTCGGATAATTTTTTCCTTAAGGTTATCTTTAATACTACCACTATGTCTTCATAATGAAATCACAAAGGCGTCCGCGAGTCTAAAGCGTTTGAATTGAAATAGATATTCAAACTGTCGACTTCAGTGGTAAGAAAAGGTCGTTGGTGTCAGGAATTAGAAATCGCTGGCACCAATATTCGTGGTTTCAGAATTAAAAAGGGACGAGTAATTTCGGTATGACAATGGTCGTCGTTATTGGTTTTATTGCATTTGTTTTTCATCTAATGTACTCCCGATGACTCGTAAGTCAAATTTTATCGGTGTTTTGTTGGGAAGGGGGTTAAATTGCCCGGCTAATGACCCATCATATGAAGCTTTTACAAAATTGTTCGGTATCAAATTTGATTTATACTCTTCAGATGGTTCAATTAGTCTATTTTTGCCGTTCAACTTTTCGATATTCAGAGAAATGTGTACATATTAGCACCATGAGAATGCCTGTGGCACACGTTTCATAAAAACAGAAGTACGGACAGATGGACAGACAGACAGACAGACAGTTGTCGATATTTTTCAGCTGTCAAGGCTGTCAAGGCCCTTACATTCTCTCTTTTTTAATATAAAAATTCAATCCTCAACAAAACAAAACAACCCTCAGTCAGTTAATGAGACAGAGATCATGGCATGGAGAATTACTTGTTTACTCTTGCTGCAGTCGCGGCTCAAGTAAGACTCCACTATACCATACTATACTATACAGTACAGTAACTTTCTACAGCCATAAAAATCACACCGTTTTAACTTCTCTGTGTGAAGGGCATTTTAAATTTACTTAGGGTTTCTATCAGGAAAATCACAGGAGGTTTTTTTTTGTTTTTTTTTTGTGTGTGTGTTTTCATCATTTGAAGGTGCTTCGTGTGCGCTGCGTGTTCAGAAAGTAAATTAAGATATTTTATAGTGAGGCAGATATGAGACGAAGACTATAAGCGATAATGACAGTGATCTAATTTCATGATTACATGGCAAATGGTCATGCAAACATGTTTATGGTAATCTCAGTTCCCAAGGGAGGTTTTATCAAAAGCTATCTCAAAACTGGCATTTTGACTTCTAGTGAGAAATGATCGTGCTCACTTGAACACAGCAGATTAGATTTTTAGGTCAATTTATTAAGCCAGATGTGGCAACAACGCGCAACCAGTTTACTTGGATTAAACTACCCAAAAACAAAATACCGCTTATTAATGAAATACGTCATGAACACCCTCATGTGCTGGGGAAAGGATGTATGCCAACTTATTTACGTTTCACCTCTATCGCAACTCTCTCTCTCTCTCTCTCTCTCTCTCTCTCTCTCTGTGTGTGTGTGTGTGTGTGTGTGTGTGTGTGTGTGCGCGCGCGCGCGCGCGGTGGGGGCAGGGGGTGGAGACGAGAAAAGGGGAAGAAAGATTTAACTGAGAACGCACGCAGTGTACAAATGATCACCCAAGGTTTTCTTGTATTCCAAGTACATGTAGAAACGCAGTTGTTGCCACCTATTCACCTTAATATTTTCCTCGACATCAATTTTACAAGTTCTTTTATATTTTCTGAATTCAAAAACATCGTATTTACAAATATATTTTCATGGATAACATGTATGATGTAGGCCTACTGAATTGGAATTTCTTCATCAAAAATAACTGCATATGCATTGCAATTTATTCAGAATTGCTCATTATAACAACCTGATACTTAGTGTATGTTTATCGGCGGCAAACTCTAAAATGGCAATTCTTTCATCACACTGACAGCTAATCTCAAAAAGTAGGCCTACACAAAAATGAGTATTGAATTATACTTCTTTAGAAATATATTTGAATTCCAGTAACTGTAGATCTAGTGTATATTCTACAACACCACTGATAAATGGATGTTGATACTTTGTAACTTTTAAAACTTGCAACTGTGACGTCACAGTTGCAACACGTAGCATAAATTTTTACCGTGACGTCAAAGTCGAATATCGCATTTATATTGTGTCGTCACAGTTGACGACTCGTAGATAAGCCCTCTGTGACGTTCTCAGAGTGTCCTTGGAGATCATCATGGAAGTTCCTGAATAAAGGTAGTCGCTGGATTTGCTAAAGTCTTCTGCTTTGTAAGGAGGGAGCGTTCGTAAAGGAGGGCAAAATAAAGACCTACAAATCTAGTGGCCAATATGTGCCAAAGTTCAGAGACAACACTGTTCACTTCAGAGATATCTCCGTCGTATCTCTCCAGTGATCTGTTCACCCCATACCAACGGCGACGAACAACAGTGCCATCAATAGGGTAAATAATATACATTAAATAAAAAACATATGCGTGTTCTTTGATTACTTCTTTTAAGGCACGGTCATATTGAAAATAGCACGATTCTTTCTCAGTACGAACCTTATCTGAAAAAGTAGCCCCTATATCCCTCCCCTTGCTGTCATTCCCGAGGCAAAAGTCTTCCTTCGAAAAACAAAGATTGCATTTATTGTCTATGCTTGCTTAGACGAATGAGGGTCGCAATGAGAATAGTCCACCCATCTTTAATGTAAACGCACTTTTTATACAATGAATTTATTAATTTTATCATTGAAGTTATATCTTATCTTGGTTGCATGAGCAAGAAATTGTTTAATCGAAAAGAAATAATTAACAGCAATCGAACCGGTCAAACGGGACTTCCATGAAATTCAAACAGTCTCTCGGACTAAACATCGGAAGACACACCAGACTGGCGAATTCAGAGTATATATAGATAGAAAGACCTCTCACACACCAAACTCACATAACCATACACAACACGCTGTCAAATGAGGCAGTAAAAATTTGACATCTCTGTTTGTTGTATAGGTTACAGGTATCCGCCTGCCCGCCACCCGGTGGTAAAACATGGGGAGAAAATGTAACACATTACGGGGGCATAGGCAAGAGACCGTTTCTGGACGCATATCGTGTCAAGGACCTCCTTGTTAGCAGAAGTCACAGGCATTTTGGAAGTGGCTGTCCTCCAGAGTAAGTATGGGGGGTTGTTATTTCAGAATTAAGTTACAGCAAACACCCTTAATTTTCAACGGTTTAACACAGAAATCAATATTTCATCGTCGATTTAATTCATATGTTAATCGGTTGTGTGAAGTCCCTTTAGACACACTATTTCAAAATAATGATATTAAAAATCGTTATTACAAGTCCATGATTGCATCAACTTTTCACAATTATACTGATAAAATCTGTTTCAACTAAAAGGTTTTTATTTTCAGTCTGACAGGTACACAGCCTTACCATCTGACACCGCTGAAACTGAGCGCTTGCAGGCTAAATGACCAAAGGCGAGTTATCTGAACATATCATAAAACGTTTGAGGTTTCGTTTGAGTTGACAGATGAAATGATTAAATGTCGCAAATGGCGCTGCAATATACTGCTGTTTCAAGTTATAAATCAGCTACCTCACTTTATCGGGGGGTTTTTCATGCGTTTTTTTTTTCTAAGTTAATGTGTTATTTGCCGAGGCTTAGGTTCTTGTAGACGGATTTGTCAAGTATCGGTAACATATTTCATGTTTACCCTGTTGGCCGCCACAAACACAAAATGGCGCCAGTTGGCAAGACAGTCCACATACTATACTAATCGTCTTCAATGACGAGTGGCGTAAGGAAAAGTAGTTGACGATGGATCTCTTTTGACCAATCTTATAAATTTAAGAATTCATTTGCAATTTTTTCTCGTTTTAACAATTCAGATTACCGAAAAGCCTCGATCTCCCTGTTCTGCCGCGACTTAGAGCGCATCCTGCCCTCGACCTCCACCCCTATACCTCTCATATACCTAAAGAAGAGGTATTTCCATACCACGAGAAAGACTGGGCAAAGCGAGGTAAGGAGACCTCTGCTGCAGAAACTGTGTCAGGATATAGGACATTACAAAAACTGCAGATTGATTTTAAAAAATCTGTTTCTTTGTGTTTTTTCCATATGGCTCTATAGAAGCTTTGGCAACTTCAGATAAGAATATTATTGGCAAAGATAAGAACTAAAATTTGAAACCAATGATATGATCGTGTACAAAATGATTTTCAAAATATATAAGCAAGTTTATTTGCGTCATGAACGTGTTGTTGTAGGTAAATTTCCCCTTGTTGGCGCCACACTTCAAGCCCTTTCGGACTACCACGAACAAGTTTACCTGACTTCCGGCTATCAGAACACCTTTACTGATCCTAATCCCCCAAAACAAGATGAATTAATGGACTTTACCCACGGGCCTGATGAAAAGGATGACGATGAAGAAGAAAAAGATCGGAAAGGTGAAATCGGGGATTGCAATAACAATGAAGAAAAGAAAGCAGGCGAGCCTCAAGATGAGTCAACAGGAGATTGCTCAGAAGGTTCCAAAGCTCTTCAACGTCTGGCACCCTGCTGGCCTCCAAAATGTTACATTATAGATCCCGTGACTTTGAAAATTTGCGAAAGAGGACTAACAAAAACGCTCTGCAGTCCCGTCGCCCGTAACCAACTGAAAGGCAACAGTAAATCGGCCAAAAATCGCAAAACGCTATATCCAAAGAAAACTGTCCACTTCTTAGATGAGAAAACGGATAGTGCACAAGCTGATTTTTCTATATTCCCGATTCTACCTCCACTTACGCCATCGGAACAAAATATTCACGTGCCCATGGGACCTGATTTGTCCTGGTTACCCGTCCCAATCGGTGAACATGCAGAGAAAGAAGCGACAGACAAGTACAATTGGTTTTGGAGACACCAACTTCATCCTGCGCCATGCATAATTGATAAGAACGGAAAGTGGTGGAGGAGCAATATTCCACAGAAATTGGGGGTTTGCTTCAAAACTGACGCCCATAAAAAGTAAGATCTGATGCACTATAATATTTCAATCACAAAGACGTTTCTCTAAAAAAAGAAGATATAAAAGACACGACCCAAATATACACACAGGTAATAAAAAATATTAAATTAAATGATAATACATGAGGTTAAATACAATAAGATGAGTTAATAAATAAACAAAAGTACTCTCCACTCTTTGGCCCACGCCCCCCCCCCCCTCCCCCATCCGAAACCTTGCTGCTTTATTTAAAGGAAGACTTTTGACTGACAATACCAAGACCACCTTTGACGAACAAATAGCTTTGGGTTTCCAGGGATTTTCCATCGATCATGGTAATGCATCGAAAACTACGGTCACTTTCACTGTAATGCAATTGATTCTAGATCCTAAAACATAATCATATACCACCTCACTCTGAATAGTTTTGAGACAACACAATATCTAATGATATGCATTCAAATCAATGTTACACCACAACATTTATCACAGATCTAAATGCTTGCTATAATAACCATTAGGCGCCAGTAATGAATATCGGCAACTTGAAAGTTATGAATTTTTAGATCTTAATGGTTTAGCTCCTGCTTAATGCAACCAAACGGTAATTAAACAATGATTCATAACTCCCTAGTTGGATTAATTAACAGTCCTCCAGTTATTAATTAATGATAAATCGCTGACAGAACTGAACTGGAATGCATTGGGTTTCTCTTTGATGTTACAATGACGATATAAGGTTAATAAAGAATAACCTAGTTATAATTCCGTTTTGTACAGTTTTTCTTCAAATGAATAAGGTGAGACTAATGCGCCCACTGGCTAACTGAGTATTTTGCCCTCTGTTTCAAGGTACCACATGCTGCATCCAGAAGCGGTTCCAGATCTCCGGGACTCCATGGTTTATCACAAGAAATATTTCTTCCATGGCTATCACTCCACGGCGTTTAGGGGATAGGTTAGCTGACAAGGAAGAAACCAGTTATCAGATGTACGATAACTGAGGCAGACGATAAAACATCGGAACTGAACATTATGTAGATGTTCTCAAATATCTTGTTTTAGAGATTGTGCTGTACGCAAATTACATCATTTGTTAATGAAGGTATCTTCATCCAAAACAGAGCGATATTAACAATCGTAAATATCCCACAAATCCAGATTGTTTTAATTGAATTCTAATTATTGAAATATGTCGGTCTAGTCTAAATGGCAGCATGTGCTTTATCAAGTGATTAAGAAGTTATAATTATCTACTGGCCTCACCTATCACTCGCTCACGTAACCGTGATACAGTTGGTATGAGGTCCCATTATATCAGTTCATCTCTTGGTGTTGTTTTAAAAGTAGTTCCAAAATTTCACATAGAGGCTTCTGTTGTTCGTGATCAGTGAATAAGGATAAAGTGTCATTTAATATTTATCTATTCTTCGGGTCATATCAGTGATCTGAATAAATTTATGTTTTTCCATCTGGAAAACCATGTAAGTAGATTACATGGAAATGATAAGACTATTATTAAGACGTCTTATGTCATAATCTTCTCTGATATATCTTATCTTATTCATCTTTAAAACACCGTCCATGTTGACATTCCGTGATTGTCGATACACGCCTAAAGATATTTGTATACCAAAATGACGAAAATGTTGTAATTGTCTTGTAATTGCAGTTGTTGCTTTATTTGCGAGGAAATCCTGAACAAAACTTTAAATGAATCGTTACCCTGTTTGCTTTTCAATTTTCCGCGCAGTTTTCCTTGTCATTCTTGTTGACCATCGCTAATTGAATACGCCTCTTTTATAATCAAAATGATTGGTATTCATGAGGTTGTGTCTTTAAGAGTGCTTCATGTCATATTTTGATGTATCTATGACACCTGTTATCCCCGTGTGTGTGTGTGTGTACGTGCGCGCGCGCCTGTGTGTGTGTGTGCGCGCGTTCGTGCACGCGTGTGTGTGAATAATTTACTGGGACTTGCGTAAACTGTTCTATACAACCATGATCCTTCACATGTAAGCCGGTGCGATTCGTCAGCATGGATTGGGGGGGGGGGGGAGATATAAAAGGGAAGTCTAACATAACCCAGCGAAACCAAGATAGCACTTGATTTACAAGAAATGTTTGCTCGGATGTAAATGGCAGAAACGTTGACATGTTTCTTTCAAGTTCATTCAAATAAATTTTGTCACAATTGAAATGCACTTAGATGAAAAAGATGAGATGCAAAGTGATCTGATACAAGATAGAGGTTGTAAATTTATGGCACCTGACACTCTTAACCGTAATAACAAGTTTGTTGAAACGTTTTATGTGACACATAGGCAAAAAGAAAAAAAGAAAAGAAAGAGAAAAGACACAAAACAGGCGTGGCTGACTGAATTCTATACTGATGTTGTGCAACACCCTTCAATCCATCCATCCATTGAAAATAATACCTTTTGTTTTGTTTGAGCTTTATTTTACTCCTCGCTGTTATCACCAGACGAGCGCTGTGGGCACACCTTCAACATATGTTCACAAAAGCCGGAAGTAAGATTCATTCTGAAAAAGATAAGCGAAGAGAAGGTTTTTTTTAGTTCTTGTTGTGTACGAAACACTCGCCCCACGGCATTGTTAACAATTACCCGATCACCGCTACTACATGTGCACACGCCAAGGGCAATTGAATACCAGTTGGTCTAGCATGTACACGTACCAAAAGAAATGACGGCCCCAGACTGCACTAAGAAGAGACAGAAAAAAAGATCAGCGGAAACTGGGCTTCAGGTGCAATGCACTTTGCTTGAACTGTGCTTCCTTTGGAGAATAAAACCTATGTCTATGTAGAAATTTCCGTTTCTGCCCAACGGAAACGGAAACTTCTGTAAATTAATATATTGACATGTCGGTTAGAGGCCTGGAGAAAACTGCACTGAAGTTGAACCACTAGATGAGTTTCGAGTTTCTGACCTACTTGAAACTGAGGAAGTGAGTGGGACAATGGTAATTGCTAAGTATTGACATGTAGTAATTGTAGTAATTTTCTTCAGCCTCATTCTTTGGGTTTCTTGACGCTTATAATCATTCAAACCCAAGATATACATCATGATATTAAACAGGCTTGTGTTACTATAGATTAAATCACGCCCATTTGCTCGCAGTATTAGATTTCTATTATGTGCAAGCATATCTGTGCATATACATGTATATCTACTATCAAATATAAAAAATAATCAGTGGCGGGGGTGACAGGGGGGTCCTGACCCCCCCTTCGGATTCTGAAAAAAATCACACCAATGGTCCCCTCTTGAAATTAGAATTTTGACTAGCTGTACCAAATGGCACTGTTCGCCCTTTAAAATACCAAAATTTTCGGGGCCCTTCAGCGGGTCCCGAACCCCACACCAAAGAGATAGGAGGGGAGGGTCGGCTTGGCATCTGCGACCCCCCTACTTTAAATAATCCTGGATCTTCCCTTTGTGCTTTATTTGAAAACACACTGAGTAATGACTCTTCAAGCGATGACCATTTCTGCTGTTGTTTCACAGCATTGGTAGTGCTCACCAACTACAATGCACTGCAGTCTCAAGTATCGTGGAAAAGAATAGCCTACTGTGACAGAGAGAAAGATGGTTCGCTCCTCTACTGCAATAAATTTGAAAAGGTTTGAAATAAAAAAAAACTCTCTAGGGAGGGAACGATAACTACATTTTTTAACTTTATTAGAAGTTCTTAAATGTTAGATCTTTTTCTCTCACAGCATTTATTTTGGCATTTTATCTCTGCGTGAATGATAAAATAAAAATGAAATAAAATGATTCTTCAGTAACGGCATTTTCTCGCGCGTCATAAGGCATAATTTTAATTTAATCCTTTGAATTGAAAAAAAAATGCCAATAATCTAATCGTCCTTCTTATCAAACTGCAGTAGTTGTTTTTCATTCTTGGCAGGCGTGGCACATCTGACACCAATGTTCCCGTGTTTACTGCCTCCTTTTTCTCTTTGAGCAGCAACATGACCATATATAGATCTTGTTTAATTGGGCAGATATACATGAATATTTGAAATATATAATTTCAATTTGTCGTTGCAGTCTATTACGGCACATCGGGGAAACAAACGTGTACCTGTAGATAAAGTTAATAAAGGTTAGAAAATTGTTATATTTTTCATACAAAAAATGATTGATGAACCAATGGATGAAAGAAGATAAGAATAGACATCTGTTTGATTAACAAAACTGCATCACCAATTCCCATCCTCTATTTAAGAAAATATTACAATTCCTAAATATGTCGGACAAAAAAGTGTTTCGATAAAAATATATAATATGTAATATATTTCAGTAACTACCCTTGCATCACATCGCCCTTCAATTAATTTATTATCCTTTTTCGTAGTCTCATCATAACACATCGTTACTATCCTTTTACTAGGACATTCGTGGTATTTATTCGTTCTTCAAATATTACATTTATCTCTCACGTTCATTTTCTTATTTTCATTATCGATTCTGCCTCCGATTCACACTCTATAAACGACATTCTTGATTTTTTTCAATATTGAAACGTTTACTGGATTCTTTGGTGGCGCATAACAATATTTCAGTTCTGGCATTTATTTTAGACCTGCCTTTATATTCCGTGATACACAGTTACGTTGACAAGTGAGACCTTCGTTAAGAATTGCTTAAACGGGGTGTAAGAAAAATGTAATATTATGTCAGGAAGTGTCATAAGTTTCATAACGCCATGCATGGTGTTGTAACTTTTCATAAGCATGTCACATTAAAGAAATGACTGGAAGAGCTTTTCTTTTCAAAAAATCGGTTAAATTAGCCTTTCTCCTCTGATGGCAGTTTATTATTATGTAGTTTCATAGATATCGCGCGATCATGGCGTAATCACAGGTAATAATCTAATAACGGTGTTTTATATCGCGCCCGTTTATAAACACAACTTCAACAAAAAGGGTCCGGAGAAACAAAAGATTGCGACGGTGCATTGCTCTGCCCCATGCATGTTGCCCGCTTCTCCAGGACCGCTGGCGCTTCCCGCACAATACCAGCAAAATTTTCGCCCAAATTTTCCTAATCCGATTACTTCTCGTGAAAATAGTGACAACTTGGAAGAAAGCATTACCACAAAATCGACTGCCTTGCTGTCCCCGCGGGCTTTACACGTCAATCATCGTTTCCCTCCAATCAGAATTTAACATCGGTGGCAAGTAACTTGATCATTTATTCTTAAGAGAATAAGACTATGTCTCCTCAGCTGGTCTCTAAATTCGATAGAAAATATTTTAGAAATATGAAAAGTGTTAAATGGTTATTAATGAGGTGCTATGTATATGACTGGATACTCGGAGAAACTAGTCGGAGGAAATCGAAATAACAAATACACATGTAGCTAAAGCAGTACCCGTCCATTACCGGATCAAAGGGCGACAAATGTTACCCGGCCATTGCAACGAGTCTGCACAGCATCTGATCCAAGTGGTCTTAATAGGAAATCCTCATATTATACCTAAGCAAGACTTCCAACTTTTGCCTTGCTGCTGTCTAGATCCCCTATAAATCTAAATTGTTTATTTAGCTCTTATAATTTTTTTTTCAATTACAATATTTGGAAAAAACTGTTGCATATGTTTCCAAGTAAATAAAAAGTGAATGTAAATCAAAAAGCTAATAGATAAATATTTTCAATGAATGAACGACCTACTTCTTTTATATTTCCAACCTCATTTTCAAAAAAAAAAAAAAAAAAAAAAGATACGATGCTGAATGCTGAATGCAACTGAAGAACTTACTAATTATATATATTATTATAAGAAGACTACAGAATTTATAATTATAAATGAAAATCATAATAATAATAATCAAAATAAAACACAGGGCGGGCAACAACAGCTACAGTGTTTACGGGTCGAAAAGCAAACAGGTACTCCGCGTATCGATAAGTATTTGATCTCCGCAGTTCATTTTACATTGTGTCCTGTCAACCAAACATCGCGGATGACCAAACATAAAAGCAACACATAGGGCCCAGAAAGCTCGCTCAAAGGGCGGAGAAAGACCCCGCAAAGAAACCTGCAAGGAATCGGCCCCTGAAGATAATCTGCCCGCGAATTCAATCTGAATGCCTCTCTATTGTCGAACCAATGATGCCCCGTTATGTTGTTTGATTTTCAATTCATAGATTGAATAAGAGGTATTTTCTGCTCGAGCAATGGACCGCTCACGGCTGTTCCTTTAGTGTGGGGGACCAATAAAACCAACCCACCTCGTCTTTATCTGTTTGATCAACAACAGATCCGAAGGGTGATCTAGCTAGTGCGTGCTTTGGGGAGGAATTTGATCAGAAAGGTGGCAACAAATTGCACTGACATATAACCCCGGTGACAAATTTCTTTCGGATGTTATCAAATGGCAGAGTGAGAATTCTGAATCGGTTGTTTTTCCTTATTTCGCCTTTCCCATATCTTTTAATGGAATCGAAGAAAAGAAACAAACTTGCAAAAACATGGAGCTTATAGCACAATGCAAAATATTCCTCTTCAAACAGCCTCCAATTGCTTTTATTCCACTAAGTGGATAGAATTATCACATTTGTATTATGAATGCGTCAATTTGTTGATTTCTCCATCTGCCGTTGAAGTTTGTTAGGTGACATCCTTGCTGTCCTGTTTTGTCCGAAATGCCTCGGCCACGTGGTTTGTCTCATGTTTGGTGCCAAGCGCTGCCACGCCTGTCATACGCGGCATTCATCAAAGTGACGTGTTTCACGGTAATTGATCTTTGATTGAGATAGCCTCGTTTTCGACTCGGTGACACGGGGATTGCCGCTGGTGATTCATTGACTGAGTGTAAGCATAGTAAAATATTGAAGACTGGAGATTTTTAGAGGCTGGCCGCAAAGCATGGGGTTTCATTTGCCTCCGAGCTTCCAAGGTGTTAAGATCGAATACTAAGAGTTAATCTAAAGAAGGACTTAGACTGTTTAGCCGGGATGTATAACGACGATTTGTTTGGACCACGTACTCACCACGGAAGTTTTCCTCTCACGCATCCAGCGATGATGCCTGCTCCTCAGCCGTATCACTTCAGCTTTCCTGTGCCGCATCCACACCACCATGACCCGCTCTCGCTATCAGGTAGGGTCTCTTTTGATGGCGAAAATGTATTAGATTGTGCCATCATATTTTTTTCCAGCACGTGTTATTTTATTATACGGAAACGCATCATTTTACATGTATGTTATCACGGAAATATTGGTAACCAAATGCTGCATGTTTTTTAATTCAAAATTAATAGTAAACATTTTTCTAAATTTGTTTGAAACGAGAACGTTAATATTTTGAATCAACTTACATCGAAAAAGTACCGCTTCATTGTTTACAGTTTGCGGCATCAAATGACATAATTGAGTTTAAATGTTTTGATACCTAAACAAAATCTGTGGCAACATGGTAGGCAAAGTATTCAATGGTTTAGCAGTGCAATTCAAAATTAATGGTAAAATGATACCAAGTTTGGTTAAATAAATGAAAACCTACCGACAGTTTGCAGCAATTCAAGTTGCAATTTCTGCGTATCGAAGTAGAAAATCGGCTGACTCCCACTTGATAAGCCGATGTTGGAGATATATTTTCCTTCTTAATACTCATTTTTCATCGCAACCTAAATCGACGCTTGTGTTGCAATTATCCACGCGTATGATAAAATGAGATCGTTTAACAGAAGTGCGTATTGTTTGTTTTTCTAATGAAGAATGCTCCCATTTCATCAAGAATGCCCGGTCTAAATAATAATAAAAAACTCTGTCAGTGTTGTATTTAAGCATATTAAATATTATTAAAGAATTTGTTCAAACTTAGGTTTATACAATGAAGATATATTGATAGGATACTTTTAAAGAGCTTTTTTCTGTTTGAAATACACAGAAATAAGTTTTCTTTGTTTGATTTTCTAAAATCTAGCCGGAAGAAAAATTCCATTTAGGCCGTGCTACTAAATAAAAATAAAAAATAGCACGAAACAACAAGCTTAGTCGAAGTTGAGTAAAAAAAAATCATCAAGGCCACTGAAGCATTTCATCCCAACTGTCAACACTTTTGTCACCATATTCTCCCTTTTAGCCGCAGATAAAAGCCTCGCTGTCACATGGGGTGCACGTATTGTGGCCTGTTGTCAGTTTGTGGCGCCTGCCTAGTTTCCTTCGCTACAGAAATTCTTAAGTGATACATGAAGTGGTCATCGTCAACGACAAATAAGGATTCGGGTTTCTTTTGGGGTGTTGTGAGTTAGGGCCATAAAATGGTGCCTGGTCCTTAATTATTTTCTCACACTTAATCATCCAACGGGTCTCCTCAAATTTCATGATGATGTTATGTCTATATGAAAGTTCGGGAGGTTTGTTCTTTGATGGGTATTGAAAATTCCCCACACCTGCATACCGATGGCAAATGAGGGCGAGAGTATTGACAACATGTTTTTTATACTGATGAACAATATCAGTGTTCTCCACGACCTGTTTTTAGAACTAAATTCGATTGTTTGATCCAAGCACAAAGGTAATAAAAAACGGCGCATAGAACACCTCGCATGTCTCTGGCATAGCGTGTAATGCTTTTATCAAGTTTGGTCTGTAAATTCCACCTCCCCCTCTCATGGATTTTTTTCGGGTGCACTTTTTTACTAGCATCAGATTTCAATAAATTCAACATCTGTGTAATTTTTTTTCACATATTAGTCTTATTTAATTGAGATAAAATTGGTAGGTAATTGAACTATCCTTTATTTTTAAATGTGACATTGACAGTAATTATTATTTGACATTAACAGTAAAACAGTAACAAATACTACCCGAACAAAAAAAATAAAAAAAGTTCTGAAAACCACTTATAAAGGTGACACTAATGCTAAAACAACACCAAATCAAACAACCGAAAACGACAATAATAATAACAGTAATGCCAGAACGCGTCAACCCGCCCTGTGCGCGGGTGTCAAAATATCACGATGTATCATATAAACTTTTGGCACCGCCAATTAATTCAACGTGAGATAACCACCTTTCCCTGTCAGGAGGCGACAACAAAGAAGCGTCCATTAGTGCTATACTCGAGCTTTCATCGTATCTCCAACAATGGCGGTCTGAAAGAAAGGTGTGATCGTCTCAAGTTGGTAATAATATGCCGACTTGATACTTGACGGTCGTCGTGCTCGCTGACAAATTTGCAGCATGATCTGTGCAGTAGTGCACAGTTGAAAAAAGGTCTCATACAGATCGAGGAATACTGCATGATCAACAGTAGGACTACTATCAAAAATACAGGTATAGGTATTTGGATATGCACCTGAGAATTACAGTATGGGCACTATTAAGTTTGGGACGGCTAATATCTGTGATCAATAGCAAATTCAGATCAATTTATATGGCGTATGAAATATGCTAGAGATTGGAGCAAGAATCCGTGAGTTTTTTCATAATTTTGACTATTTTGTTTTGAAAAGTCTGCCGAGGTGACTTCATATTGCCAATCATCTTTGATCTAGAGAATTCTATTTTTTCATTTATTTATCAAAAGAAGACAAAACAGAGACGATGTTAATTTATGTTAACTAGACGTGGCAAGGTTGAACAAAATTGGAAATAAATTCAATTTTCTTAAATTTCTAAGGTAAGGAAAGTATTCATACGTGCAGTGAAGATGCCGAGAGAATTGTCAGTATGATAGTTTTTTGTTTTACTTCTAGGGCCGCCTCAAGGATTCGGTGCTTTTCCCTCTCAGGGCAGAATGCTCCCCGGGAGAGAAGGTGCTACCAATGACAAGAACATCAAGATTAGCCTGGAGAACAGGGACCTCTGGGAGAAATTCAACAGCTTGGGGACAGAGATGATCATCACCAAAACCGGGAGGTGAGGTTACACGAAAAATTGTCATAATTTCATACATTTGTGCCATTTTCACCCGGATATAAACAGCATAAATATGAAAATATCACAAGGCTCTTTAACTTGCATCCGTAATCTACTATTTAGTAAAAAAAAAACACATTGTTCTTATCGTTAACACGCCTATTTTTTAAAAAAATACAAGACATATAGGGCCTATATTTCGTAAGTAGAGCTTGTCACGGTGTGTACAATGAATCCTTCTTCGGTATGTGGGTCACAGCACAACTGTATAGGTCACATCAAAAAAAGGGGAACCGTTACAGCACATAACACTTGGAGCAATCGTTTCATAAGTAGTCCTAATTTAAGGTCTTATCTGGGGCCTCTTACGACACGTTACACCATGCGGTGACGAGGTATTTGTTCACGGCGTGCGAGTTATCCGTGGTGTTACGCCATCATACATAGTGGCCAGTGCCCACGCACTACGTAGTACGTATACGGCACAATGTCCAGATTCGTAATACAGTCGGTAAAGTGTAAAAGGTGATATTTCAGTCGGATGCTCTGGAATTTATTCTATACTAGTTTTACAGTTTTTTTGTGAAAGAGAGAATTGAACATAGTCAATGTAATGGTTTGGTTTGCTTGATCGAAAACAAAACAAGCATGTCAAAGTCATTGGATTTATTAGATTGAAAGATATTAAAAAGTGGGTGGCACTTATATTTTCAAAATTCCAAACAAAAGCGTTTTGATTATTTCACGAGGAAGGGGGTATTTTAAAAGTGCATTAGCATTTAAAAGACTGAATTGATAGATTGCCAACCCAAGGTGAATGGTGTTTTAAAATAAAGAAAATCTAATATTTGCAAAACTGTGATTAAACCAAGGTATCGCCTATAATTAATTAAAAAATGAAATAAAACAAAAAAGAAAACATCATAATATTTGTGACGATCTAAGAAGCCAAACCCAACATTCTTTAGACCGCTGATTGATTTTCATCCGATCAATGCTGATAGATTTGCACTCAATTACAAGAGACCACACAGAAAATACAATGTGTTGTTGTAGGAAAAAACAAAACATTTCTTCAATGACATACAGCTCCATCAGTATACACCTGGAATTTTTTAATCGTTGACCACTTGGCATGTGGTCATTGTTTTGTTGGAAAAAATCATACTCCTCACGCACAGTCGATATGGTCGATGCCCTTTTTAACCTATTGACCGGTGGGAATTTCACGCACTGTAGATCTAACCTCCCCCCACTAACTCTCACACGCCTGGTTATCTGGTAGAAATTATAGTGGCTGTAGATACGACGTGTTTAGATAAACAGCCTAAGATCCATAATCATGTGTAAAATGTCACGAGAACTAAAAAACCTACAAACTAAAAAAATGAGGGAAGGAAATGACACTGGCTGAGTCTTTCTTACAACAGATCAGCGTATGTACAACAAGATGTCTTTGCATTAACAAATTTAACATGATGTTATTCAAGTTATCAATTGAATTTTTTCAATAACTTTGATTACATATTGTCGTTTAAGTCATTGAAAATTTCCAATTGAAACGTAGCTAGAATCTTGATATAAAAAAAGAACAAATTTTGCCTGCAAGACGCTAATGCTTGGACATTGATTCGCATGATCACGCACTATCGCCTTAGGTCACGAGGGTTATCACAGTCTTTGTTAACTAAACGTTGAACTGAACTTGCTTAGTAATGGTGTTTTAACTTTTGACCGTGACGCGTGAATCTAAGAAATCATTAATCAAGACTGCAGACCAAAAGTCATAGTCATAGGTTAGTTGTCTAAGGTTAAACAAGTTTCAAAAATAAGGAAAGAGCGTAACTTCATGTTGTCTGTGGTTATGAGGGGAAAATAGTTGAAAAAAATGTATACCAAAATTAAACTTAGTTTTGTAAATAAAACGTAAATGTATAGGCGGCTCTTCTTTAATTTAAATCGAATCTTTGAGGTAAAAATATCACCAATTTAGAATCAATTGTAGTTGTTTGTATTGGCTTTAGGCTTCGGGTGATATTCTAGTGACCCATTTGGTCGATTTTTGTCCCTCGCCCCCACGGCTCCGCCGTGGCCTTCGAACTAAAACGTGCCGCTCTATTCTCTAGTTTCACCTGTGCGATTTTTTCGGCGATCGACTCTTTTCCTTTGTGAAAGTTTTTACGTTAGTTCAGTGAGCGAGTGATCTGCCTAACTCTCCGTAACAAGCTCTGTTTAGATACGGCTGCCACAAAGGTTGTTGACAAGGCCTTGCACATACTCGCATCATAGATAAACATATCCATGTCAAGTGCGTGATGATTATTGTTAGGGTCCTTGTCTCAGTGAAGTTCGAATAAAGTGGGTAAAGAATTTTAAATTGCGTATAATTTTAGGGCCTACTTACAATTCATTATGATATTCAAAATATCATTCTTGTTACGCTAAAAACCAATATGCACAATTTCGTTTAATTTGAATATACTGGACGTACAAGGACGTACATGTATTCTTGGCTTTAACAGAGCAATATTTTTTCAAATACTCGAAAGTATGAATAATATTAATAATAATTTGAGTAATTAGAATGTCGATTCGAGTGAAATATATTTGGGGGTCATTGGGTGAGTTTCTGTTGCTTCAGTCGTTTGATAAATATCCTGTAATCTGGGATAAATTTCTAATCTTATTAAGATTGATTATAGGGAACTAAAGAACTAAAGCAAGAATGGTAATTACTTCAACAGAGAAGAGTTCTTAGTGGCATTTGGGTTATTAAATACAATTCTTTATTTCCTTTACCTGCAAAAATAAACAAAGCGTTTACCTGTATATATCAGTATGTACGTATCGATAGGGTTGAATTAATACCTCAATCCTAATCTTGTGCAGATGTTCGGCCGTTCACACAAACTGGTGCTCTCTGTGACATTAAAAATCTACGGCAAAGAAATTCTACTAATCTGCACTGGGATTATTATTATTTTTATTAACGAGACGTATATGAAACGGTCACTTGGCCAAATTAAGACCTTATTAATCCTATATTTGTTGCAACGAAAATTTACACACATTTCCTCATAATAATAGCTGTGAACTTAAATACCTCGATCGCATTCTTGTCCCCTTACTGTATATTATTTCGCTCATTAATTCATAGCCTTTGCTTCGAGGCCTAGGATTTAGAGCGGATTAAAAGGTAATGTCGTTGAATCGCATATTAAATCATCATAATTGTGGCTGCATAAAAGGAATAATCCCGTTTCACTAATATTTATACTGTTAGAGCGGGCATTAAGTACTTTTGAGTGCGATTCCAAACGGCATTGAATTACATTGGAGAGAGTTTGGCTGGAACAGCGCACGCTTCTAAACTAGTTGCCTGTTACGGCAAACCAGTTGTACTGTACCATGTGAAATTATCAAAGTATCAAATCTATCAGAAATAAAAAGAATCATTTTCAAACCATACTTTATTTTTATATGCCAAGCTTTGTTTGCCATGCCAAAAAAAAGGTCGAGAAAAAAGACAAAAACTGTATTAAACTCAAAGATAGATAAGATGGCAAAAATGAATAAATAAATGATAAAAAGTTAACGAATAAATAATTAGTAAATAATGATGAAATTTTAATTTGCAAACTGATGAAAATGTATGTATCAAGAGTCAGACCGTGTGCATTTACAATATAATTTTATGAATTTTGACATGTTAAAATAAACCTGGCCTTCATCCCTTATGTTTTACTGTTGTAATTAAAAACTCCCATTTGAAGTAAACAAATTAAGCAATTAGCAAATTTATGAAGAAACCATAATAAATGTATGATCAGTTAATCAACAGGATCCTGAATTATTCTCTGCAACAAATAAAAGTTTCTTCTTTATTTTTCATTTTTTTTCTAGGTTTTTTTTTTTTTTTTTTATTTTTTGGAATCAATATGAATATGATTTCCTCACTGATATCAATTTTATCTTTTCTAGACGCATGTTCCCGACTTTCAAAGCCAGCTTATCCGGCCTCGACCCCCACGCTAAGTACATCCTCCTAGTGGACATCATCCCCGTGGACGACTGCCGCTACAAGTACCACAACTCCGAGTGGGTGGTCACGGGGAAGGCCGAGCCTCACATGCCGGGGAGATTGTATATTCACCCGGATTCCCCATCTTCCGGAGCGCACTGGATGAAGCAGTCGGTCTCTTTCCACAAACTCAAGCTGACGAATAATAATATGGACCAGAATGGCCATGTAGGTAGTATGATAAGCGTTTTACATTGGAGATATTACCTCCCCCCCCCTCTCAATCTACACCCTATCGGCACCAGACGCCGAGAAAACTAGCCTCTTCACACTTTCCTCACTGTAAGGAAAAAGATGATTGTAAAAAAAAAAAAAATTAAAACCATCTTGTTATTTCCATAATGAATTGTTTGCTAGTTTTAATAACTTTCAGGCAATAAGCTAGTTTAAGGCTTTCTTGTGCGCAAAGATGAGAGTGGTGAGGATTTTCTCAGTTGTTATAGAGACGAATGATAACAATTGTAACGACAATATAAATAAATAAACAAACAAACAAATAAATAAATAAATAAATAAATAAATAAATAAAATAAATAAATAAATAAATAAATAAAATGATCTAGGAAAAAAAGAAACAGAAAATGGAGTTCAAATAAAATTCAGAACCTTTAATACGTTCACTTTGAGCATAATAAACAAACATATTATTTTCACACACTAGGCGGTAAATTAGATTGAATATGTAAAAAAAAATGTCTTTCTATTTTTTCAGTTGTAAGTTCTCAATAAATGCAATGTGTTTAAGAATGCAAAATTTATAGACCAAATACAAGAAATTAGTTGATTGGCTACAGAGGGTTGTGCAATATATACACAGAAAATAAGCCTACTCTGCCACACGTGGTTCAAAAGTACAGATCATTTTATTAAAATTCAAGATGGAAAATATTACAAGGCACCAAAGATGTCCACAAATCCAGTTGTTTTCTCATTGAGTAAATTGCATTTGAATCGATACAAATTGCTCACTTATCTCTCCCAAATTAGCTGAAATTCTCCACAATGCGTGTTACTATTCCGAAACTTTAGAAATGAAATGGCGCCAATGTGTCAAATTGTGGTAATTGCTCTTTACCAGTCTCTCCCGTGAATAAAATCTCTCTCCGGTAAGTTACCCAAGTCAACAATGACGACTCTGACGCGGTTTTTGCTCACTCAAGGGAGCAACGAAGATTTCACTACAGGGTAATAACATAGGTGATTACGACTAGCGCATAAAACTTTCATGTTGGCGAGTTAGAAACGAAAGGCCGTAAATCTCCATTATAAGATTAACACTGCACAGTGCAGACTTAGTCGAGCTATAACCAGTCCAATGCCTTCCTAAGGGATTCCCAGCTCCCGCTTTCACACCCAGCCTTCCACTTTTCATTTATGGAGCCGATGCATTCTCACCTTTGCTCACCAAGTCATTACAGGAAAATTGCACATTTTGGTAGAGAATATTGGTATTCTGGGAGCTTTCTGCTACATTTTCAGCAGGCGCCTCACAATAAATCGAATTTTTAGAGATTTAAGATACGCCACGCAACATAATCTTTTTTGCTTTTTGGATCGTCTCTCGTATTTTTGCGTTTTTCTAAAGTACATATTTGTTTGTTTGATTGAGATGTGGTTGGTATGGTGTTTAAAAATAACAATTTCCGAAATAAAACTATTTTATTTATAATGTATTTTTAAAATAAACAACAGCATTTCGAATAAGTTTGCCATAAAATAAAGAAAAGTCAACCATTCAACAATTCCACTCACATTTCATCTCTTCAACTACGTAATATGGACCTTTTCTTCCTTTTTCAGATAATTTTGAACTCCATGCACAAGTATCAACCTCGCGTACATGTGGTTCAGGCCAATGACATCTTTTCCATGAGGTGGACCTCCTTCAGCACGTACTCTTTCGAAGAAACCACCTTCATAGCTGTGACAGCGTATCAAAACGAACAGGCAAGTTGCTCATTTTAATTCATCTATTGACAGAGTCTCCTGTTTAAGCTTAATCCAATGTGGCGTGAAAATAATACTGATGCCATTAAGGACGACGCGTAACGCACCGATTTAACATTGCCTGACTTACCATTATGTTCCATGCAGTATGCATTATTACTTCAACTTGCGAATTTTTTCGCAAGTATATTGTTCTGTTATTTAGTTTGTTTGTGGTCAAATTTTTGTTGCACGTTAGAGGCCTCAATTTTAGAGATTTTGTTTTCAAAAATATTTTTGGATATTATTTATTGGTCTTGGATGAACCCTATTAAGGACCATATTTATTGATCATATCGTTATGTATAACATTTTCAAAGTTTTGAAATTAACATGGACAAAGCCAATTGACAATTTTAAAAAGTTCTGTATTTTTTCAATTATAGTGTAATCACATCAAATTACATGAAGTGATATTAGTTCATGACTTCTTCCAACTTACCAAGTTTCATCTGGGGGATCATGCCTTTTGTCTATATTAAAACTTATTTTAAAATTTTGAAATTAACATGTGAAATCCCGTAGACAATTAAAAGAATTGTGTTTTTCTTTTATTTTCTATGTTAACTCGCCAAGTTGCGTAAAATTATACAAGGCCATGGCATCTAACAATTTACCTAGTTTCATCCTAGTCCGAGATGTATAAGCATTATTTATCCTGGTGCAAAGGAAAACGTGAACGTGTTATGGTTCACAGTTCTCACATTACAGAGCAGAAAAACAATTATACCATGGCCAATATCTGATATCACAAGGGTCTCTAGTATAGCCTGTATGAAAAGTGTTGAAGAGACTTTTCAGCAATTTTGTAACAGACTTGTAGCAACCCGTGTGGTCAGAGAGTAGCCTGACCATAAGAGCCTGTGCGAAGTTCAGTAGACCACGAACTTTTGCGACAACAGCGTGCACGTGCACCATGTTGAACAGGCATTTTACTGGCACCCATAGACGCTAAATTGTTATATAATAGTTCGCAAGCCCTTGCTCTGTGAGCAGTTTTTTTTATTTTATATTTAACTTTAATTATTGCGTAAAAACCCGTCAGTTTAAACATTCAAGTGTATCCTAAGAGCAAAGGTCACAAAAATGAAAACAATTTAAAAATCAGATATTATATTATATAAACTATTAAAATATTTGTTAAATCTCATTTTTATGGAGNTATTTTTTGGTATCAATATGAATATGATTTCCTCACTGATATCAATTTTATCTTTTCTAGGCGCATGTTCCCGACTTTCAAAGCCAGTTTATCCGGCCTCGACCCCCATGCTAAGTACATCCTCCTAGTGGATATCATCCCCGTGGACGACTGCCGCTACAAGTACCACAACTCCGAGTGGGTGGTCACGGGGAAGGCCGAGCCTCATATGCCGGGGAGGTTGTATATTCACCCGGATTCCCCATCTTCCGGAGCGCACTGGATGAAGCAGTCGGTCTCTTTCCACAAACTCAAGCTGACGAATAACAATATGGACCAAAACGGCCATGTAGGTATCATGATAAGCATTTAACATTGGAGATATTACCCCCTCCCCACAGAATCTACACCCTCTCGTCACTAGAACTAGCCTCTTTAAACTTCCTCGCTGTTAAAAAAAATGATTGTTAAAAAAAATGAAACCATCTTGTAATTTCCACAATGAATTGTTTGCTAGTTTTAATAACTTTCAGACAATATGCTAGTTCAAGACTTTCTTGTGCGCAAAGATGAGAGTGGTGAGGATTTTCTCAGTTGTTATAGAGAAGAATGATAACAATTGCAACGACAATATAAATAAATAAACAAATAATAAATAAATAATAAATAAATAAATAAATAAAATGATCTAGGAAAAAAAAGAAACAGAAAATATGAGTTCAAATCAAATTCAAAACCTTTAATACGTTCACTTTGAGCACAATGAACAAAGTTATTATTTTCACACACTAGGCGGTAATTTAGAATGAATATGAAAAAAAATGTCTTACTATTTTTTCGGTTGTAAGTTCTCAATAAATGTAATGTGTTTAAGAATGCAAAATTTATAGACCAAATACAAGAAATTTGTTAATTGGCTACAGAGGGTTGTGCGATATATACACAGAAAATAAGCCTATTCTACTACATGTGGTTCAAAAGTACAGATCATTTTATTAAAATTCAAGATGGAAAATATTACAAGGCACCAAAGATGTCCACAAATCCAGTTGTTTTCTCATTGAGTAAATTGCATTTGAATCGATACAAATTGCTCACTTATCTCTCCCAAATTAGCTGAAATTCTCCACAATGCGTGTTACTATTCCGAAACTTTAGAAATGAAATGGCGCCAATGTGTCAAATTGTGGTAATTGCTCTTTACCAGTCTCTCCCGTGAATAAAATCTCTCTCCGGTAAGTTACCCAAGTCAACAATGACGACTCTGACGCGGTTTTTTGCTCACTCAAGGGAGCAACGAAGATTTCACTACAGGGTAATAACATAGGTGATTACGACTAGCGCATAAAACTTTCATGTTGGCGAGTTAGAAACGAAAGGCCGTAAATCTCCATTATAAGATTAACACTGCACAGTGCAGACTTAGTCGAGCTATAACCAGTCCAATGCCTTCCTAAGGGATTCCCAGCTCCCACTTTCACACCCAGCCTTCCACTTTTCATTTATGGAGCCGATGCATTCTCACCTTTGCTCACCAAGTCATTACAGGAAAATTGCACATTTTGGTAGAGAATATTGGTATTCTGGGAGCTTTCTGCTACATTTTCAGCAGGCGCCTCACAATAAATCGAATTTTTAGAGATTTAAGATACGCCACGCAATATAATCTTTTTTTGCTTTTTGGTTCGTCTCTCGTATTTTTGCATTTTTCTAAAGTACATGTTTTTTTCTTGTTTGATTGAGATGTGGTTCGTATGGTGTTTACAAATAATAATTTCCGAAATAAAACTGTTTTATTTGTAATGTATTTTTTAAATAAATAACAGCATTTCGAATAAGTTTGCGAAAAAATAAAGAAAAGTCAACCATTCAACAATTCTTCTCACATTTTATTTCTTCATCTACGTAATATGGAGCTTTTCTTTTCTTCCTTTTTCAGATAATCCTGAACTCCATGCACAAGTATCAACCTCGCGTACATGTGGTTCAGGCCAATGACATCTTTTCCATGAGGTGGACCTCCTTCAGCACGTACTCTTTCGAAGAAACCACCTTCATAGCTGTGACAGCGTATCAAAACGAACAGGCAAGTTGCTCATTTTAATTCAGCTATTGACAGAGTCTCCTGTTTAAGCTTAATCCAATGTGGCGTGAAAATAATACTGATGCCATTAAGGACGACGCGTAACGCACCGATTTAACATTGCCTGGCTTACCATTATGTTGCATGCAGTATGCATTATTACTTCAACTTGCGAATTTTTTTTTTGCAAGTATATTGTTCTGTTATTTAGTTTGTTTGTGGTCAAATTTTTGTTGCACGTTAGAGGCCTCAATTTTAGAAATTTTGTTTTCAAAAATATTTTTGGATATTATTTATTGGTCTTGGATGCACCCTATTAAGGACCATATTTATTGATCATATCGTTATGTAGAACATTTTCAAAGTTTTGAAATTAACATGGACAAAGCCAATTGACAATTTAAAAAAGTTCTGTATTTTTTCATTTATGGTGTAATCACATCAAATTACATGAAGTGATATTAGGTCATGACTTCTTCCAACTTACAAAGTTTCATCCGGGGGATCATGCCTTTTCTCTATATTAAAACCTACTTTAAAAATTTGAAATTAACATGTGAAATCCCGTAGACAATTAAAAGAATTGTGTTTTTCTTTTATTTTCTATGTTAACTCGCCAAGTTGCGTAAAATTATACAAGGCCATGGCTTCTAACAATTTACCTAATTTCATCCAAGTCTGAGATGTATAAGCATAATTTATCCTGGTGCAAAGGAAAACGTGAACGTGTTATGGTTCACAGTTCTCACATTACAGAGCAGAAAAACAATTATACCATGGCCAATATCTGATATCACAAGGGTCTCTAGTATAGCCTGTATGAAAAGTGTTGAAGAGACTTTTCAGCAGTTTTGTAACAGACTAGTAGCAACCCGTGTGGTCAGAGAGTAGCCTGACCATAAGAGCCTGTGCGAAGTTCAGTAGACCACGAACGTTTGCGACAACAGCGTGCACGTGCACCATGTTGAACAGGCATTTTACTGGCACCCATAGACGCTAAATTGTTGTATAATAGTTCGCAAGCCCTTGCTCTGTGAGCAGTTTTTTTATTTTATATTTAACTTTAATTATTGCGTAAAAACCCGTCAGTTTAAACATTCAAGTGTATCCTAAGAGCAAAGGTCACAAAAATGAAAACAATTTAAAAATCAGATATCATATTATATAAACTATTAAAATATTTGTTAAAACTCATTTTTATGGAGGTGACTTGAAGTACCGATATCACGGAAAGAAGTACGAGCATAAGCATTAGCTTTTCTAGTCAACGGATCCCCCCGGATGACTCTCTCACATTAATTATTCCGCGTTGAAATATAGATCAACGTGCAGAAAGTGACAGTGGCGTAATGAGAATCGTTCCATTTTTCCGGGAGCCATCATCATTAGTTCATTTCTTGGTTAATTCCAGATTACTCAGCTCAAGATTGACAACAACCCATTTGCGAAGGGCTTCAGAGATAATGGGCTTGGCCGACGGTAAGTTCATGATTTGGTCATCTTTTAAATTGATCATGTTCATTTTGTCCATATATTTTTTTCTCGCTTTGGTCATCACCAAGACAATTATATTCATTTCCTCAAAATGTCACTGCGAATTTAGTCTATCCTGGGCGTATTGGTTTCACATAGAGTAATTGACTCGCGTCAGACGAATCAAAACTGATGCGTTATCAACATCAACAATGAAAATTTAATCCTCTTCTAATATCTGTCAATACCGTAATGCTTTTGATGTAATTAATATAATAGCCAATTGATATTAGTGTAAATTAGCAATATCATAAGCGACTTATCATAACAAATTTGTTGAACTAAGAGAAAAGAGAGTTATTTCCTTCTAATATTGTAAATCTCCAAGGGACCACGGGAATCAAATTTGGCAACAACAAAGTCAATTTCTATGGGAAATTAGTGGAGCCTTATTATAGACATCAATCCTTAGTAATTCATTTAGCGAAAAAATTGCATGTTTTAGCTTGAATTATTTATCATACTGTGAAAGAACTATTACGTGAAAATGGAAAATGTAGACAAATGTGGGAAAGAGACTCTCAGCCTCCTTTTTAACAAAACAAAAAAAGTCAACCAGGCGAAACCTTAAAAAAAAAACATTCACTGAAACAATACATATGATAAAGAAATAAATGATTAATCACTGTTTAAAGAGGCACGGACTCGGGTGTCTGACAGTAATTCAATCCGTATTAGTTGAAATTATTTAGAGGGTCATATTACAAATCTAAACATAATAATTGCCAATTTATGTTTGATGCATATCAGCCTCAGTATCCATGGCTTATTTTGATTTTTTATATTTCAGAGACAACAAACTCCAATTAAAGAGACTATCTATTGTAGACTCATCAGATTCGGATAACGATAAAGGTAAGATCCAGATAAAAGAAATTGAAACATTTTCCGATAAATATTATTATTATTATAAATGTGCGCATGCTTTGCTTAATGCCATTAACGTACTCTTGTTCTATAAAAACAGGCCCACGCGATTACGCTGTCCTACCTTTCCGACCTTGAAATTGCACCTCGAAAACAGGAAAGGACTTGCGTCCGTGTTTTACCTGGTGAAATGACTCATCTATCTTTAGAAACCTTGGGATGTTCTTTTGTTCATGTTCTAAATTTCTAACTGTATCACTTTGAGAATGTGTTGTATGATGTGTTCCACATTATTATTCACTAAAATTTAAGTTTTTTTAAAATATCAATTGCGTTACCTCTAATATAACATTTGCCAAATTAAGTCGATCACTAAAGTTACGGTTCGTTTTTGTTTATTGGAAAATTATCTTATTTCACAGACGCACAAGACAGAAAGCGTCACAAGCTGGACACGTTGGAGTGCAACAACAACAACCCGAGTGGTGTACTATCCCCAGTAGATTCGACAACTAAAAAAGACAGCGAATTTTCCAGCCCAACTGCCGCGTCTGAGCCCAACGGCTTTAAGGACAGTGTGCAACCGAAGGCAAGAAGTATGTCTAGTCCCCACAACAACCCTTTTCTAAGTCAAAGTTCAGCAATGAGTTTCACGCCAGTTCCACAGTCTTTGACCTCGTGCCGGATCCCAGCAGACGACAGAATGTTCTTCCCGCCAGGAATGTCTTTACCAGCTTCCAGCATGTTCCACCAACCCACCAGCAGCCCCAATCTCCTCCAGCCGGTAACGACGGCCATTTCTTTCAGTCAACGAGGCGTTATTCCTTCATACAGTAGCGCGTGCGCGTTTGCTCAGTCGACGGCGGCGATGTACGGCATGGCGTCCACGCCCCCGCCCGCTCACTCCGCGCTCCCGTCATGCACGTACGTGAGGAGTCAACCCTTCCCAGCTCACGGAGCAGGCATCAACGGCTCAAATGGAACGCCCTCACTAGCAAGATGAGCGAGGAAAACCATTTGAAAAAAATTCTCAAGTCGAAAACCTAACACTCCCGACGAAAGCGCCGCCACTAGGTTGGTCTTGGTGTTTGTGAACTGCAAAATAAGTCTGTCCCACTTGAAAAGTGCAATACATGACCGACGCAAAGGCAAAGCGGTGTCTCAGGGACTTTTCTTTTCTTCCGCGGACTGAAACAGATAAAGTGGTCTGTAGAAAGCTGATAACATGGCATGGACACAAGGCTTAAGCCGACCGACAAATGTTATGTCAACGGACTAGTCGTTAACTGTATGTCTTTTGCACATTGTTTTTAACTCGAGATAATTAATTGTTAACGCACCACCGTGGATTTTTCATCCTGCAATCCTGTATATTTACATCATATATTTCACTATTTCAGTCTATTTACATCAATATGTAAATTACCTCATCTTTCTGGTTACATACTCATGTGCCGTGGACAGTTGTTTTTAAAAGGTTCTCAACTGCTTTCAGTAAACCTCTGTAACATTGAATCTAGTCAGAAAACCAAAGACGGCAAATTTCCCCGCAACATTTGTGCTTTTTCAGTCAAAATATGAAGTTGTTGTTCGTAAAATGAATGCAGTGTATTTTCAACACATAACGATAATAAATTATTTGAATAGAATTAAGCCGGCGTTAGTGTTGACACGGGCACTGTGAAAGGATGACGCGTCATGAACTGGTAGATCAAAACGAAGCGCACACTTCCATGCGAATCCAATAAATAAAATAACAATAGTCTTCATGAAATATCAACACTATGATGACATTAAGCTTCTGATAAAAATGGCATTTAATAGTGGCAATGATAAGACAGACATTTACGTACAGTAAGAATCTAGAGCATATTAAGCCTGATTATTTTAACTAAATATATGTATATGTATATATATTTATATATACACCAAGAGCTAATTGTACCTTTAACATCACTTGCGCTACATTTGGACCCTAATTAAATTTCCTTCTTAACTGAAAAACTCTGTGCAGGTTGCTAGACTTCTTAGTGAAGACTAACTACAACTACAAGTGCACTGAGGGACTAAAAACATCGTTGACATGTTCTCTTCAAAGGATATACGGAGCACGGTTTAACTACAGCTAAAATGACCTTCTTTTAAAAACAAGAAGCTAATTCTACTATGCCAGGTTACATGATGTGTAAAATGTGTAAATGATAGGATAAAATGTGCCTTACAGAGAGAAAAAAAAATATTAGCCTCGTCTTCCAATTAAAAAACCTGGTGCTGTTTAAGTAGCAAACCAACTGAAGCAGCCAACTTCTACAACATTTTCAGCATGATGTTTAAAAATGGAAGAAGACTCTAAGGAGTCTGACCTCCCCCTCATCCTCCCACGTAAAGAACAACAACAGGATGAATATTGTTTTCTGGTGTAAGTTCTCTATGTCGCCTGCCCCGTTCGTCTCGATGCCAATACACGCAGGGCACCAATTCACACGAGCAGCAGTAGAGAACTTGTTAATGTATCCAGTATATAGATGCACTGTCCTGTCAGATCAACTTCCATGTGCCTGCAGCTTGTGAACAAGTTAGTCCAGACACAAACCAGTCAGCAAAATAATAGTTTTGACCTTTGCCCTCACCCCCATAACTTTTTACATACAACTCTGGTGTACAAATTAGAATATTATATTTAATATACATATATATACGAGATGTGCTGTAATTCTCAGTACTGTACACACACCTTTTCATATTTGTTGTTTGTTTTTGCAAAGGGACTCTCATGGCCTGAGTCTATTTCCCTATGTGAACACGAGGGGGTGGGACTGACAAATGTTTGTTTTTTTTTCCTGGGCCCAAAAACTATGCTCCTGCATCTTTACACCTGCTACTAGGGGCAACACTGCTTTGCTCCTTATCATTTTTTCCTGGTTTCATCTGGTAGCTTCCAGTGACTCTCAGCGTATCCTAGTATTTCTTTTCAACACTTTCCTCCTTGGCTGCTACTGTGTGAGACAGAGACTTAGTCAGATCCATCACTTTGCTGCTGAGCTAGAGCTTGCTTTACACATATCGAGAGAAGTTCATCAACTTGGTCTGTGTCTGCCTCTGGGTCTATATCAAAGTCCTGCAAAATAAATAACACATACATATAACAGTTCACTATACAGATAGCCATGGAGAAACCCCTCCCTAGTACTTCATTTCGTCAATCTAGTGAGGTTGGTGCCAGAGCCATGTACAGGGCCTGGGCAACTCTCTCTCACCCCTAGGTTCACAGCTAACCAAAGGCAGCTGTTCTCATAGGAGAGAGAAAGTATCTGTTACCATATCTTAACAAGTTATCTGTGGTGTACCATATAAAAAATATCAAAAATGTCTATAATTCATTTAAGATTTGTCCTTGGGTCTCTTTATATGTATTACCACAAACAAGGTCTTTATTCTAAAACAAATTATGAATATCACATTTCTCAACATATAATCTCACAGTAAATCAATTAAAATTGCTTCATGCCAGCAAAATCCACCATGTACTCCTGAGCGCAGTGGAGCAAATGTCATCTCCAGCAAATTGTTTATAATAACAAAACTTAATAGCTTCACATCTGTGTGGATGAATATTTCATTAGCTCTGCTATGTGCACTGGGCCATACTCTGAACAGATCCGATCAGGAGATTTAACTGCACCAAACAGATGAAAAAAGTTGAGAAATTCTTGATTTACCAGCCCAAACAAATTTATGAGCATTATTAAAATGAATGACCAAATTGTAACATTGTGCTGAACAGAGTGGACAGAGCTAATGGTAAGCAAGTTTAGTGAAAAAAAAAATCTAGTTTTGTACATGTTTGAAACTGGTCTTCTTTTGAACAACTGAAGGTGACAGTTGCTCACATTCATTATCAGCACTTTATTCCAGCAATATTTTTCATACGCCCACCTAAGCTTAGAAACTTTTCACCGGATTTCAAAGTATTAACAAAAGAGCTGTTCTATACCTCATTAATGGATTTTAAAAGCTTGGCGATCATCTTCCTGACATTTGACAGTTTGGATTTTGCACTCTCCGCCTCCTGCTGTTTATTGAGTGCATCAGCTTGGAAATTATTCACCAACTAAAAAGAAACAAATTTTAAGTCTTTCACAGATAAAACAGTATGTGTAATATTTTAAGATTAAAATATTTTAAAACACTTAAAAGCAGCTTTATATTCATTATGAAACAAATTGAGTAACAAAGATACATTGAAGCTGATATCAAGTAACCAGAAAGTCATACTTGTAGCTCAGGACACTGTTATTTACTCTGACCATGTAACAAATAGTGTTTTTCCTAGTGCACACAATAGCCACAAGTCCACTGCTTGTTTTCTTCTGTTTTTCCATTACCTTTCTCAAGCCTTTCTCATAATGATCAAAGAAGTCTTCTAGTGGGAAGGCGGCTAGTTCCTGCAGAGACAGGCCGGACACCGCCTCTTTGTCCATGACCCAGTTAGGAGGGAGGAAGTAGCGTAAGCATGTCCTTCAAAAACCAAGTGAAATTCTCAATAACACTGTGTCATTTCATTGAAATTAAATGATAGTTAAAAAGGACGTCAAGTGTCCGGAAAGTCACCTTCTTTAGATAATTTGGCCATAAAAAAACAACATCTTGAAGGTAACACTCATAAGTTGAATGTGGACTGAATAACTTTAACTGAACAAGAACTGCAAAATATTTTTTTAAAAAATTACTCAAACATGCTAACTTAACTTGTTAAATATTTATATGTAACCAGAACAAGATATCTTACTATTTCACATCCTAAATCACTGTGAACTCCCTCATCCACCCCCCCCAAAAAAAAAAAAAATCTATTTTACTCCCTAAATCACTGTGAACTCCCTCATCCCCCCCCCCCCCAAAACACACACACACACGCACACACACACACACACACACACACACACCTGTAACCTGCTGCTATTTCCTCATAGTGCTGTGGGGTAGAGGTGGTGGTGGTGGTAGCAGTTGTGGAGGAGCTGGGGGCCTCAGAGTTGCTGTCCTGTGTGGACACCACTGGAGACGTTGAGGTTGGAGGTGGGACAGAGTTTTCTGTGGACTCGGCTGGGGCCTGGAACACAATTGACAGACAGATTGTTATGTACTGTGACTTTATTCTGAGAACAAATATTATACACTATAAGCGGAATGTTTCAGACTTTAATTCAATTCAGATAATTATTCTATATTACTTAGAAATATTGTAAGGCTCTAAATATTCCTTTCTAGATTATTCTATAGTTTTCAAGTAAAAGTGCTAAAGGTTTCATAAGACATGTGACTGGTGTTAATACAAACCACATTATTTGAAACACTTGCCTTCAACAGCCTAAGGTCTGTGCTATTCTGATCAAACCTAAAATATTATAAAATACATTTTAAAACATCCACATTGATAAAAAGTTTAGAACTTTTTGTTGTATAGTTTTCTACATGTAATTACTGAGCAACCAAAAATAAGAAATATTTAAATGTTTACTCAACCAGTCACAGACACATTTTCTAGACACAAGGCCAAAAGTAACAGATGACAGGACAATATTCAAGAAATCTTCAATCACTGCCACAATTATTAAGGAAGATTTAATAGTCTCTAATAAGAACCTACAAAAGACTCACAAAAACTGTCAATGAAAACTGATGCCCTATCTAATAGAATGCCCTCGTGGCTGGCAAAATTAAGGGATAAGGAGACGTGTACTTTCACTAAGTTGCCAATTTCTTATATGGACAATTCCTTAAATGCCCCATATTGACCAGTGTTAAGTGACCAATCTAAAGGTATAACATGGGTTGGTTCTTATTGTCTAGTCTGATTGGTCATCTGCTGCCCACACTGCCAGGAAGTGTGCCACATACCAAGAGTGAAAGTACAATAGTGGGTTTGTCCACAGAATCTTTATGTTCAATAACTTATTAAATCTTACATGGAACAGGTATGGTGCCAGTTGAAATGAACAGATTCAAGGTTCAGGTAGATACCATTGTACCATAAACGTCTGTCTTGAAACTATACTCTACAATCATTTACCGTTATACCCTTGGGTGAATTACTCTGTTTAAAATATCTAAAGGTATTATGTAAAAAAAAAAAAAAAAAAAAAATTCGGATTATGTATAATTTCATTTTTCTGATATCAACAGGCTACAAAAACACCATATGTTCACAATACTGGGTCTTTGGGTCGTTTGTATTTATCAGTTACATAAGGCTTCCGAACTATGCACCACGTGCACTCAGATCCAGGACACTGTGACATGATGTAAGGGAAGAATGAACGTCTACCACACGACACAAAGTGCTGTTCAGTCCCTGACAGAGACCAGTGCCAGATACAGAGCCACACCACACAGACCACACTTAACACCTCTAGAACACTTAACTTTCAACAAAAGGTTTTTCACAATCAGCAGAGGAGGTGCCTCCCCTCCACAAATGACCCCAGTCCCACAGGCACTTCACACCCGCCCAGCCCAATCAATTCCCCATTTCTCCCTGGCCATTACAGCTACCTAGCCAAAAGTGTGCCTCCCATTTGTCCAAATGGGAAGTAAATGAGAGGAGTGTGCCGTGGGTAATTCGTTCTCTGTCTTCTACAAGATTACCAGCCTCACAGAGGTGTAGTCCAGACCATTATGGAGACTGAAGGACAGTGAAGTGGTGCGCCATTTCACAGGTTGACATTTTCCTTGTCAATGTCTTTAAAAGTGTGTCCTTTAGAGCTGTCAACTTTGAGCATTTAAGCACACTTCGTTGAGGGCATATTTTGATTATCTACTAAAAGTACCACTGTGATACACATTTTTTGTTGCACTGGTCTTTTTTCCCCTCCATTTACGGATATGTGTTTTAACGAGCACAACTGGATTCATTGTGGTAACCTTGATATTGAAGTTCTGTTTGGAGTCAGAAAATTCATATGACTGAGACAAACTACATGTACAACTTACAGGGGAATTTCAACCAATACAATTTTAACATATCACCCAAAGAGTCAAAGTTATCATATAAATACAGATCCTTCACACCAGTAACAGTACATTTTTTTGCAATATCTTTCCAATAAAAGACAACATTTCAATGGCAGCCCAGCNCCCCCCCCCCCCAAAAAAAAAAAATCTATTTTTCTCCCCAAATACACTGTGAACTCCCCCCACCCCCCCCCCCCCCAAAAAAACCACACACACACACACACACACACACACACACACACACACACACACACACACACACACACCTGTAACCTGCTGCTATTTCCTCATAGTGCTGTGGGGTAGAGGTGGTGGTGGTGGTAGCAGTTGTGGAGGAGCTGGGGGCCTCAGAGTTGCTGTCCTGTGTGGACACCACTGGAGACGTTGAGGTTGGAGGTGGGACAGAGTTTTCTGTGGACTCGGCTGGGGCCTGGAACACAATTGACAGACAGATTGTTATGTACTGTGACTTTATTCTGAGAACAAATATTATACGCTATAAGCGGAATGTTTCAGACTTTAATTCAATTCAGATAATTATTCTATATTACTTAGAAATATTGTAAGGCTCTAAATATTCCTTTCTAGATTATTCTATAGTTTTCAAGTAAAAGTGCTAAAGGTTTCATAAGACATGTGACTGGTGTTAATACAAACCACATTATTTGAAACACTTGCCTTCAACAGCCTAAGGTCTGTGCTATTCTGATCAAACCTAAAATATTAAAATATACATTTTCAAACATCCACGTTGATAAAAGTTTACAACTCATTGTTCTATAGTTTTATCAACTGAGCAACCAAAAATAAGAAATATTTAAATGTTTACTCAACCAGTCACAGACACATTTTCTAGACACAAGGCCAAAAGTAACAGATGACAGGACAATATTCAAGAAATCTTCAATCACTGCCACAATTATTAAGGAAGATTTAATAGTCTCTAATAAGAACCTACAAAAGACTCACAAAAACTGTCAATGAAAACTGATGCCCTATCTAATAGAATGCCCTCGTGGCTGGCAAAATTAAGGGATAAGGAGACGTGTACTTTCACTAAGTTGGCAATTTCTTAAATGGACAATTCCTTAAATGCCCCATATTGACCAGTGTTAAGTGACCAATCTAAAGGTATAACATGGGTTGGTTCTTATTGTCTAGTCTGATTGGTCATCTGCTGCCCACACTGCCAGGAAGTGTGCCACATACCAAGAGTGAAAGTACAATAGTGGGTTTGTCCACAGAATCTTTATGTTCAATAACTTATTAAATCTTACATGAAACAGGTATGTTGCCAGTTGAAATGAACAGATTCAAGGCTCAGGTAGATACCATTGCACCATAAACGTCTGTCTTGAAACTATACTCTACAATCATTTACCGTTATATCCCTTGGGTGAATTACTCTGTTTAAAATATCTAAAGGTATTGTGTAAAAAAAAAATTGGGATTATGTATAATTTCATTTTTCTGATATCAACAGGCTACAAAAACACCATATGTTCACAATACTGGGTCTTTGGGTGGTTTGTATTTATCAGTTACATAAGGCTTCCGAACTATGCACCACATGCACTCAGATCCAGGACACTGTGACATGATGTAAGGGAAGAATGAACTTCTACCACACGACACAACATGCTGTTCAGTCCCTGACAGAGACCAGTGCCAGATACAGAGCCACACCACGCAGACCACACTTAACACCTCTAGAACACTTAACTTTCAACAAAAGGTTTTTCACAATCAGCAGAGGAGGTGCCTCCCCTCCACAAATGACCCCAGTCCCACAGGCACTTCACACCCGCCCAGCCCAATCAATTCCCCATTTCTCCCTGGCCATTACAGCTACCTAGCCAAAAGTGTGCCTCCCATTTGTCCAAATGGGAAGTAAATGAGAGGAGTGTGCCGTGGGTAATTTGTTCTCTGTCTACTACAAGATTACCAGCCTCACAGAGGTGTAGTCCATACCATTATGGAGACTGAAGGACAGTGAAGTGGTGCGCCATTTCACAGGTTGACATTTTCCTTATCAATGTCTTTAAAAGTGTGTTCTTCAGAGCTGTCAACTTTGAGCATTTAAGCACACTTTGTTGAGGGCACATTTTGATTATCTACTAAAAGTACCACTGTGATATACTTTTTTTGTTGCACTGGTGTCTTTTTTCCCCTCCATTTATGGATATGTGTTTTAAAGAGCACCACTGGATTCATTGTGGTAACCTTGATATTGAAGTTCTGCTTGGAGTCAGAAAATTCATATGACTGAGACAAACTACATGTACAACTTACAGGGGAATTTCAACCAATACAATTTTAACATATCACCCAAAGAGTCAAAGTTATCATATAAATACAGATCCTTTACACCAGTAACAGTACATTTATTTTGCAATATCTTTCCAATAAAAGACAACATTTCAATGGCAGCCCCACACTACATGGCCTTAGGAGGAATTAGTTTATTAACACCTTCAAATGAATCTCTGACAAAATCTCTTTTGTAATTACTCTCAATAACCAGTGTTGAAGTATGCCTAGAGCCTGAAATCTTATACCCAGTGAGTATGTAAGCAGTAAGAAAATCTGCTTTGATATTACTTTGTTAGGAGTGTAATGTTTTGCCCCCTCCTGGCATCCCCTAAATAAACTGAAGCCTGTGTGTAGTGTATATTGAAAGTTATGTCAGGCTTTTGCCCAAATAATGCCATCTGCTTGTCAAGGGATGTGGCCATGAATACCAGTGTTAGGTTGAAAACTGAGCAGCTAACTTGTAAAACACAAATTAAAATAGCAGTTTAATTGCCGCAGACATTATGAGGATGTGTCAATATCGGGGAGAAGAGGACAAAAGGGAACCCGCCTGGGGCACATGGGGCCAAGACACAAAGGCTATGAAATCCTCATACATCAGATATCAAATATAACTGTTTCATTTTGCAGTTGTTAACACTATTGCAGACGTGTAAACTTTATCTTGTTTAAAAAAGAAAATTGAGAGGGGTATGCTGAAAAAACTGGTTTCAAGTTCTACCTATCGATCAATTAGCATGACAACCACCTCAGGCAAAGTTAACTCATTACACATATCGGGTAATTAATTTTTGGCAAGGTTGACCAGATCACTTTATTTCTATTCAACCTGGTGGTTCACCAGGAAAGGAGAAGAAAAAGAAAGATGTCAATAGAAGAAGAAAAAACATTTACATATACTGCAGACCAAAGCCCGTGGAAGTCTTTGAATAGTATTATGTTATACATGGTTATTTATTGGGTGAACAGGTTCAGGTAAGAAAAATAATTCAAGTTATACTTCCGACCCCAGAGAATGTCAACACAGAAACATTACTATTCAGTATTAAGAACTCAATTCACTTAAACAAAAAAGACACACAAATATACACTTGTATTTTCAATTTATCTTAGACCATGATTAATCACAGCCAGGCTGAGCCAGATGCTTCCACAAAATTTTGACTATTGAGATGTGAACAGCTGGTACTTTTTTCAAAGCAAAGTCTTTCTTTCTCTTTCTTTTTTTAAACAGGGATTATTCAACTGGGCAAAAAAGGGCAAACTCTAGTGACATTATATGCTGTCCTTCATAGAACAAAAGAAAAATATAAATTATATATAAGTTGGTATATACCAAAAAGGAAAAGAATATAAAGAGGAATATATTTTTATATTTTCTCTTTGGGTTTGTTAAAAAAAAAACTGTTATTTTTAAGTTGTTTAGTTATGC